CACGCAAAGTGCTCCTCGCCACAAGTGAACACACAGTACCTTGCTGAGCTCGCCAAGCAGCACAAAGCCGTCGGCGATCCTCGCAGCAGCGGCGGCGGCTTTTGGCTGCTGGCCATCGAACAAAGACGGCGGTCACCGCATCGCGTGGCGCTTTCAGATGCGCTCCTGCGGCCGTCTGGAACGCTCTTCCTTTCGATATTAAGAAGCCACGGGAACTATGCCACTTTTAGATCGAAAACGAATTTCTTTAGAACGGAGTTTTGTGTTTAGATTGTTGTCCTTCCCCCCGTACCTCCACAATTAGTACGGTTGGTTACGTACGGTGCGAAAGAAGTCCAACATGCATGCATACATACGTAGATTTTCAGAAACTGCGAGCCGCATCTTCACGTGTAAATGTAGCCGCCGCGTCTCTATCGGACCACAAACTTCATTCAACTGCACCGCGAGCCGCATGCGTGTCTGTGAGCCACGGGGTGGCTCGCTCATACCCCCCCCCCCCACTAAGCGAGAGAGGCTCCTGCAGATTCCACGCAGCTAAACGTCCACGAAGACGCAATGGAAACGTTTCGCGCGACATCTACACGAGGTTGGCTGGGGAGCAGTTCGCGTGCGGACGAATTTGTGTCACTTGAAGGCGTGCCGAGGTCTGCTGCATCTCGTCGACAAGACGGCATCGTTCAACTCGCCAAGGCAACGTGCTACGGCCGTTTTTGTCCACATGTCAATGTGTCCATATATACGTCATCGGCCGCGATCTTATCCATTGCTTGATACGGGTCTCCCTAACCACGTGTCTGTATGGATACAGGCTACATAGTACTCACCGCAGCGAGACCGACGCGTTTTGAGAACGAGGGTCGTACAATATGACACTAGCCTTTAGCTTCAAGGCGTCATCTTTCTGTGCTAAATATATTCAAGAAAAGGGGGTAACATGAAAGTGCATTTACTTATAGGGGCCACTACAACACACACGCCACATCAAAACATAAATAACCAAGTGCAATTATTTTCTCGCGTAATGCTAACACCCCGTTCTCAAAATCGTACGGTCTCAACTCGTGTGTGTATCTACCGGGATTTCTTAAAAACCGCATATTCCTCGTGACTCGTTACACGCCGTACGCACCCGATGATTGCTAAACACGTCAAACTGAATGTGAGAAAGCACTGTGATAAGACTGTGTGTGTGTACTCACGTGACGTGATTCGTGTATCAAGATTCTCACAACGTGACGCGTTACCAATCATCAGGCGCATGCAGCGTGCAACGACTTCGCGTTTAAAAAGGGGGTAAAACACGGCAAGGCAGATCACAGCGAGTGGTGTTGACTGGAGTTTGGGGAAACTCTGGTACAGACTTTTAGAAAAGCACATACACACACACGTGGGCGCGCGTGACTGCCCATACAGTGCAGGGTGGGTCCAGATGTGTTGTGACCCCCCCCCTCCCCATTTAATTCTCTAAACCAGAAATTAATATGCAAATGAAAAAAAATTATGGGTTCAATTAATTGGGGACCACAAGACATCTGGAGCACCCGGTACAGACACCCACACGTGGGTTCGACCATGGAGCTTACACGTAGGGTGCTGATGGTGCATTTCCGTCCGATTTTGGCGAAACCGTGTCGCCAACAATGGACAGAATCGCCAAGGAGATGTTTTTTTTTCCAGGAGTTTCATAAAGATGCACATTTGGTATAAATTTCACCACTCAAAGGCGCATAGCCTTCCACTGGTATCCACTGCTGGACGAAATGCCTCACCACGCCATAACCAGGCTTGGCAGAGTCAACCTTTTTTCCACGCGGGGTTTAAACGTTGGCACACGTGGCCACCTTTGAATTAATTCTTATTTGTTTCATCACGTGATCACTCTCCGGGAGATTAAGATACTGCGATATGATCCCACTGCCATACATCACAGGTTGGCACGCGACTGTATTTCAAACTGCGTTCATAACCACCCATCATTCCACGCATTTGTATCTCGTACGTACGCCACACTGACCTAGCCTCGTATTAAAAGGCCACCTTAAACTATCATTGTTAATATCTGTTATTCAAAATAACAGCAGTCGGGTACTTATAAAAAACACACAGCGTTTACGGAATAACACAAAATAAAAGCGATACTCCGTTGGCAGTGGTGCATAAGCGTACAAAAAATAAACGCCTCAATATCACATTGGCAGCAAAAGCGTTGCGTTTCATGATAATTAAACAATAAGGTCATTCAGGCGGTGCTCTTGGTTCCGGCGAGTATGCACCAAGCGAATCACCATGTGTGGTGGTGTTTGTCAGCACCACACGGAACCACGTGTGTTCGCTTACCTGTTCATAGCGTGCCATCAATTGGTTATGGAGCCTCACTCCTACAGAATCACAGCAGCGCCTTCGTTTTGGAATACCAACCTCGCGCTATGAGAATGATGACGTCAACACCAAATGTATTAAATGATAAATTATTCTTTGTTAAGGATTCATTGGCACCAATATCACGTTTCTTTCGCTCTTCTAGAGCCAAGCTGTTTTTTTTTACGAAATCAAAGTTTGATGTGGAACTGCAAATGTGTCTTGAAGCGGGGCTTTCGGAGGCGCATACATTGTTGTAACACGTATAGCTATTAATTACATTCCATCAATGGCGCAGATTCCCCAACTTCAGTCCTCGACTCACCACCAACTACACCCAGAATGTGCCAGTTGTTTAATGATTGTAACCCCCTTTCAAAGAAATACAAAGTCGTTACACGCAGCACGCGTCCTACGATTGCTCAACTCGTTCCACGTGCTGGAGCGACTGCCCCCGATTCTAATTAAACAAGGAACCGTGTGTGGTATGTGTGTACGTATATGTACTGTGGTATGTCAATGTCCAAATCTCTAATGGGATAGCAGAAGCTTCGTGGTTATCTCACGTGGGCTACAAAACCACCTGCCGGAGTTCGAGTCCTGGCCATGCTCAAGAGGCGAGTGGTTATCTCACGTACCGGAGTTCGATACCTGGCCGTGGTTTTCTCAACCGGTGCTGGGCTCTTTCTAGGTCGACTCGGCCTTAAACGAGTACCCGATGCGGCGTGTAAATATCAGCACTCGTGGCTGGGTGTGGTGCTGGCAAACACCACCATGACCATACTCTTTGGTTCTTTCGGTAAAGTCACGTATGTGAAAAATAAATAAAATACAATTTAAATAATTTACTTTTTTTTCACCTACGTGACTTTACCGAAAGAACCACGAAAAGTTCAAATCTAGAATGAACCACCATCACCACCACCCCCCTCTTACGCGGCCGTCCCGACCGCAATAGCTGGGTGCTCGATCACAGCACCTGCCAGAACAGCCGGTAACGGCGAGCGGAGGATATTTATTTTGCTGTGTACGTCTCCCAAATGAAATTGAGAGCACCGATTCAATTTAAACGAGGCAGGCCTTGCGGTGCGAGTGCGTTTGTGAAGCTGTTAACGTCGACGCGGGGAATCTTTTGCACGTCTCCCACGTGAGGTGAGGGAGCAAATTAATGTTGTCCGTGTCTACCCGATCTTCCCGTGTCAAGGTACAACAGAAAAGCCCACCGATTTATATTTAATCAAAGCTCCTCACAGCCACCACGGATGTGTGAAGCAATCATCAGGCTCACACAGCCTGTAATTAATCGGCGCTTTAGCAGAGGTAAATTCGTAAACTCGGAACGTTGTAATGCGGTGGGTCATGAATGTTATGAAACTGAGGTAGTGACGGAGTCTCAGATGTGCGCGACTTCTCGATAGTTTGACTGAAATCTGAGTGTAATATGAAATCTATGATCACAATTACTTATTAAATGCCCCTACTCTTGATCAATAACACTGCAGGTTTAATGCAGTTATCTTGTTCAATCTTTTGCGATTTAATTAGAATGTGGAGGTGGGCTAGAATTCAAGAGTGAGAGAGGGAAGTTTGTGACATCCTCTCTGAACATTATTTGATTTCTTAAAAGAAAAAGACGGTTCATCTCCCGCTGTGAATATATCCCACTGTGAGCGCTGTAGAGTTAACATTTCATGAATGAATGTATTTTTTCAAAGATAATAAAAACATTTAATGATCCCTTGTGACCAAGGCAAAACAAGTGATGGATTAGAGCCAGCGCTTACTGTGACCCACAATTGTATGCCTTGCCATGTTGATCAATCCTCCTTGGTTCAAATATAAATTAAGTCAGCACGCTGGCCACACCAGGTGATCGCTAAACACTTCCCGACAAGTCACGTGGTACACTCGCGTACATACGCACACTTTAGTTGAATCGGCGCTATCTGTTGCATGGGGCGTGCGCGTACACACATGCACTGCACATGCCTGATGATGAATTAACGCCGCTCGCACGTGCGTGCGTGCACACGTGCATCCCAGTGACGTTGACAGCTCTCGATAGCACGTGGGGTATGTGTAGCAATCAAGAGGTGTGCGTATTGTGTGTTAACTACATCATTTGTACTCTTAACGAAGATTCGTAAACATGGGATACAATGGTGAGTTACAAAAACTAGGGTTTGGCAAACGCTAGATGGGAGTAAATGCTGGCACTGGAATTTGTACTCCGAGGCCAGTAAATCAGCTCGGTTCTTTGTTGAAACACAACTTCTGCAGTGCATGCTTTGTCCAGACGCAGCTGCGAAATTTGCACAGCCCTGGAGTTTTCGCTTTGATCGAGGCCCTTCGAACTGCTCCATCTCAAATGTTCGAACGAAAAGACGATGACTACGGTGAGTCCGCGGTCTGTACCTGAGGTGCTGTGCGCTATACAGGATATAAAGACAAAGATAGCCTTAACAGACTGTTGGGGCAAGTGCTCTTAGCGAGCACCTATGAAGGGGAGCGGTCGTGAAACGGTTAGCGCGCTGGGCTACGAACCCGGTGATCCGAGTTCGATTTATGCTCACGGCCAACACCAGTGACAATTATTTGAACCGGTCCTGCCCCCCCCCCCCCCCTCTAGGTCGACTCAGCCTAAAATGAGTACCTGCTGCGCTGTGTATACGTCACCACGAGGGAGACAAACGTGGTCGGGCGTGGTGCTGGCCGGCCACCCACCCGCTCGTGTGCCGTGCCGGCCTTCATAGGCGCTCGCCATGCAAGGATACACGTGCATATACACACGCAGGCTTAAATACATCCCGTTGATTTCGGAGCCGAAACGGAATGCTCGCGATGTAGCGAAGGCGGCAGGCAGTAGCGCTGGAGGTTCAGAGGCAGGGAGCTCTTCTCCCAGCCACGTCGCCCGGCTTGGCAGGAGGCGGCGACGTCCACCACGCCGATCCCAACCGACCCGTCGACGCGACCCATCGGCGAAACGTTTCAAGACGTAAAAGCCACGGCCGACCGCACGGTGGCACGGGACGCGGGCGGGGGAAGGGAGCGAGAGGCGCGAGCGATCGTTAGTTTTCCACGGGCGATCACACGATGCTGGTCGACGCCTTGGCGTCCCCGCGGCCGCACGCCGCGTTGCTGTTGCCGACGTTGGAGTTGCAGCCGCGCGTTGCTGTCGCGGCGGCTGTCGTCGTCGTCGCCGCCGTTGCTGTTGATGTTGTCGCGGCGACCACTGCCGCCGCCGCCGCCGCGGCCTCGTCAGGGCAGCCGTGCTGAATGAGGAGCTCCGCACACTCGGCGCTGTTGGCGCGACGCGCGTGCACGAGCGCCGTGTGCCCCCGCGCGTCCCTGGCGGCCACGTCGACGCCGTACTGCGGAGCGACGGTGGAGGGGGAGCGGGGTCGGGGGAGGGTGGCGCGGGGGTGTGGAGGTGGAGGAGATAAACAGTTACGTTTGTCGTGCGAGTGAAAACACTCTCAACAACGCAGCAAGGGGGGCAGCTGGTGGGGGCAGCGGTGGGGGTGGGGGGGGGGGGTGGGGCGGGCAGCCGACGCACCCAGATGAGCAGCTGGGCCAGCACGACGTTGGCCATGGCGCAGGCGAGGTGCAGCGCCGAGCGTCCGTCGCCGTCGCCGTACGTGTCGTTGACGTCGTCGCGCGAGCCGTGGGCCAGCAGCAGCACGGCGGTGCGCAGGTCGTCCTCCACGACGGCGCGCAGCAGCTGCTGGCCCAGCGGCACCTCGCAGGCCGGCGCCGCCCCCAGGAACGCGCGGCTCTCGTACTTGGTTCGGATCCAGCGCTCCTTCTCCTCCCTGGCGGAACACACGCACGGTTTCTCGGGGTCGTCAGAGAGGCGGAGGGCCGTTAACGCACGTAACGGTTTCAACGTGAGGCCGGACGCTGGCCACACAGCACCCCCCCCCCACTCAACTTAACTGTCCCCCTCGCGACTCACTGAAGGGTCACGATCTCGACGAAGGGTCACGATGTCGGCGACAATCTTACGCTGCCCAGCAACTTTTGCGCACGAATAATTTTCAATCAAGGAGTTGCTGTTGTTGTTGATTATGATATTGGTCTCGACAGCCTGTGGTTTAAAAAAGCAATACGTTTTATTTATATGTGTAAAGTGTGGTTGGCTCCCACCTCTTCCAATACGTATGGCCAGCATGAGAGAGTAGGCCAGAATATCCTCTACAGCCTTTGCGAGTGTAGCCCCTTCCCCCAGCAGTGGCGTGAGCCAGGATTTGCAAGGCTGCTCCTTTTATATAAATGGAGACACAGAATTGTGATGATATATGCTGAAACCCAGGATGCTCCACAAACCGACATGTCATGTGCTTATATGCAACTGCTCTTGCCGAGTTCAGTTAGAGACATCGCACGGACTGCGTGACGTCTCCAACGTTGGACCGGTAGCCAAGGGAAGGGATGCACATTGACAATACGCATTGCGTGGAGCAATGAAAGCAGCTCGTGATGCCGGAGCAAGGAGGGAGTGCTGCGTTGTGAGACCACAAGAGATGGCGGGTGGCTTCAGGAGGCGTTCATCCAGCAGTGGATAGATCATTACTGATGATGATGATGATTACATATGTAATGTGTTCACATAACCCCGGGCAGCTGCCCGTCTCCACTACAATCACCGTTGTTAGAAAATAACAATCGATTCTCGATTCAAACCGTGACCCTGGATCACGACAATTCATTGACTCTCCGAGGTGGTGAATCGTTACACCTCTAGCTCTCAGTGTCTGGCATTTGCATGAGGTGGTTGGGTGGTGGGGGCGGGGGGGTGGCGGCTGACGGGGTGACTGACAGGTGCTGACATGAGCCCCCCACGGGATTCTCGAGGTTAATTGGGTGAAGCTGGAGATTGCTGCTGACGCCCGATGACCGCCAACCATTTCGCGGTGTCCCAGTGATGCGACTCCGTAATTGATTGCTCCCCGAGTGATTTAATGTACGTAACCCGATGCTTTCAATAGCGGGTGTTCTCCCCCCATCACCCCCCACCAGGCTGAGAAATACGTGTTCCCGTGACACAGCCTGGTCGGGTCTTTAGAGTTTAGGATTTACCGTTCACACGACAATGCTGAATATAGGCATTTTGAGCTCAAAGACGACAATGCAACAGGACGCGTTCCGAATGGCCACGTTGTTTCACGCTCTGTTGTAAAGCACTTTATTGGCGGCGTGGTTGGGAAGGGCAATGGGCCTCCCCTGTCCAATCTCCTCTCTCTCTCTCCGTAAGCACACGGGCCCCGACGGACGATGGGTTCCAGTGCAGTTGCACCGCCCGCACACTCGGTATCTACGAGACTGTTGCTCTAGTTAGGGGACTTTAAATAAATGCGTAGAAACTATTCCTGTTGTTTGGGATACACCGTGCCAGTATGAGCATCTCTTCGGAGGAGAAACGAACGGCCGAATGTATTAGTAGATATTAAAAATAAAAGCAGTAATGAAAAAACCGACAGGTTATGCTTTATTAAAGCCCACCTCTCCTCCCTTGCCTGTTCTCTTCTACTCCCCTCCCCTTTCCTAACCCCTACTTACCCTAGATCGTGGCCGCCCATTCCTCATCCCCTGCACGCCCCTGCCATAGAAATAACGTCCTTGTTTATACCTTTTTTAATGTTAAGCGCCTTGTTCAAAGGCGCACGATAAATATGAATGAAGATCAAGCGTGACTTGAACTCGTGCGGTTACAACGCATGTGCGAGGAGTGTAAGGGGACTTCTCCAATCATGCCCTGTGATGTTCATTAACAATTGCACAAGTCACCCAAGAAGCAAGCAGCTTTTAACATAAAGGTTGTGTGTCCTGGGCTTTTCGACACAAACTTGAAGTTATGTTATTGAGGCATATTTAAGTGTAATAAGTGGAGTGCTTTTGGGAGATCGAATTTTATCATGAAAATCACCGTACCCAGCAATGCATGGCAATTACACTATTTTTTTGAAGCTATTTTTTATTTATTTGCCACTTAAGGCCCACTGAGCTATATAGCTCTTTTCGGAAGCAACCTGGCTACAAATGATAGCTCAACGAAGTGGCTTATCATGTGGAAATGCATAGCAGCCAAATATTCCAGTCTACACGGCATGTTGATTTTAAATGTGGAGGGAAAAACTGGAGGACTCGCAGACATGTTCCCACGACCATGGGGAGAGAGAACACGCAAACTCCAAATATACAGCAGGCGTCAGTAGTCAGGATCGAACCCACGCACTCCTGCATACCAGGCGAGCTAGCTAAAATCTCACCCCTGCTATGACAAGGATGAAACACGTAGACCCAGACCAAGGACATGTAACACAACCTGAAAGGCAATGCAAAGAAGCGTGGAGAGAGGAGGCAAGCGTGGAATCACACCGAGTGACAGAAAGAGGGACACAGGGATCAGAGTCCCGGTGCAAAGTAGAGACATCATATTGGCAGTTAAGAAAAGTGGAGTTTGGTTTGGGCAGGGAAATCATGGGCTCGCTACAACGGCTGATGGCCAGTAGTTGAGACTCATGACGGAGTGGCAGGTAAAGGAGATATTGCACGCAGATGATATGCTATTTTGAATTTAGGCTCATGAGACAGAACAAAATTGTTTCAAAAGCGAGAGAACCAACCTCAACCATCCCCATCCCCCCCCCCCCCTTACCAAATGAACTCTACGCAATGAACTATGATAAAAAAACGAAACAACAAAAAACTATTCTTGAATCAAATCACGGGAAGTCGTCGCATCGCTGCGGTGGCCGGTTGTGGCCGTGTGGTGGGGCGCGGTGCTGCTGCTGCTGGTGGGGAATGAATGGGGGGGGGGGGGAACTTGGGTTGCCCAACTTCCCCAGCCATCTACAAGAGGAGGAGAGCCTTGTTTGTTTTTCTGGTTTCTCGTCCTCCTTTGAAGAGGTGGGCACACCCCCCCCCCTCCCTCCCCCCTGCTGTAGGCACCACGCACCGCCGCCCTCCCAACAACAAACTGCTGCGGCCACGCAGACAACCGAGAAGAAGGCGGCTTAAAGAACGAGCCGCCAAATTTCCTGTGCTCGCCCCGAGGATGAGGCACTGCCCATCCCCCCCCCCCCCCCCCCCCCCCATTGTCTGCACAACAGCGCTCAAAAAAAACCACAGCCCCAAATTTCCTCTCTGCAGGGGGGGGCAAGGTTGGGGAGGGGGTGGGGCCACGGTCCCAGCGAGCGACCACCACCGCCCCTCCTGCCACTCCCGCCCGCCCGCTCGCCCGTCTCTCCGTACCGTCTGTGGGGGGGGGGGGGGGGGGGGGGGGGGGGGCCCGCCCCGGCATCACGGCGGATGGCAGCAGTGAGAAGAGGCAGCGTGGGGGGGGGTAGTTAATGGGTGGAGGGGGGAGGGGCACAAACCGACGTCTTGCAGACCTCAAAAGCTCGCGGTGAAAGTGTGTTTTAGTAGGCTGCTGTTTTTTGGTTTGTTTTTGTCAGTGTTTTTGTTTGTTTGTGTAAATGTGCATATATTGTGATTGTCTTTTTGTGTGTATGTGTGTGGCGCTGCAGTTAGCCCACTTGCGATACGAACCCGGCGACCCGAGTTCCTCTCGCGCTTACAACATCAGTGAGGAATGTCTGACCCCAGTCTTTGGCCACCCCCCCTAGGTCGACTCAGCCTTCAATGAGGATCTGGTGTGGTGTGTAAACATCAGCACTGGGAAGGCAAAGGCGGCCGGGCGTGGTGCTAAGGCACACCCACCCCCTTGTAGGTTGCACCCTGCCAGTCTCCACAGGTGCTCTCGCTCAGAGCACTTGCCCCAATAGCGTGTGGAGACTACACGGGGATCTTTGTCTTTGTGCGTGCTTTTACAAGTGTAATTGTGTGTGTGTGTGTGTACCTGTTTAGATTCCCGCTCACGGCCAACACCAGTGACGATTATCTGAACCGGTCCTGGGCCTCCCCCCTAGGTCGACTCAGCCTCAAATGAGTACCCAGGACCGATTCAGATAATCGTCACTTGCAATTGGCCGTGAGCGGGAATCGAACTGGGGCCGCCGGGTTTTTAGCGCAGCACACTGATCGCTACACCACTGCTCTTGCACGTATCAAATATCCCCCGTGTAGCCTTAAGAGACTGTTGGGGCAAGTGCTGTTAGCGAGTGGCACCTACGAAGGCCGGCACGGCACATGATGGGGTTGGGTGGCCAGGACCAATGCCCAGCCGCCTTCGTCTTCCCTCGTGGTGATGCACGCAAACCGCAGCAGGTATTCGTTTGAGGCCGAGTCGACGATAACCGTCACTTGCGCTTGGCCACGAGCGGGAGTCGAACTTGGGTCGCCGGGTTCGCAGCGCTCCGCTCCTGCCGATCGCTGCGCTCAGTGGCCGTGAGCTCAAAAACAGTGCAGCTTCACCCCCACCCACCACCCTGCCCCCCCCCCCCCCCCCCCCCCCCCCCCCCCGGCGAGGCACGCACACAGCCCGGCAGAGCGCAAGCCTTTCGCAGCGGCGCACCCCAATGCCACTCCGCTTGCCCCCGTGGTAATTGCCCTTCAATTATAGTAATATCACAGGGTGTTTTGCGACGCTGGGAGATAGAGGATAAAGGCGACCCCATTCATGAGTCTCCGAGGGCCCCTGTGGGTGGGGGGCGAAGCCGGCTCGCGTCACTCGCCGGCGAGAGGGCAATTTATTGGATATGAGAGGCGCGCTGTGTTGCCTCTCGCCCGGGATGAAAAGGGCAAGCGCTGGATCCTTTATGCGGCTGTCGATTTGAGATGGGGGGAGGGGTGGGAGGGTGGGGGGGTGGGAGGGTGGGTGGGGAGCGCGGATGTGTGGGGGAGGGCCGGTTAGCTCGCACGCCCGCTCGCCGAATCTGGCCGCGCTACGAGTCTTTTTTTTCTCTCTCATTCAGCTGCCCCGGTGGTGGAGGATTGTGATGATGATTTACTCCTTCCACCACCGCAACCCCCCCCCCCTCCCCCAAAACACAGCCGGAGACGGCGATGAATCGTCACAACTCAGGGCTGCGATGCGAAATGAGAATTTAACTTCCTCGGCTTTACCATCCCATTTGGGCTGTTTTTCTTCTATTTAAAATGTAATTATAATAAGCAGTGCTGTTATGCAACAATTCACTCCCCCAGAAATTCAACGATTTGCTGGCAACGACGATCATTTTTTGAAAATATATTTTTAGTTTTCTTCATGGTCTTGTTTATATTTATGTTACATTCTCAAGGTTTGTTCGTTTCATCAGCCTAAATGGCGCATCGATGGCGCATCGTTTGCAAAAAAAAAATACGTAAAATTAAGAGCACTCTGTCAATCCGCCGAAGGCCTCCACGCATCGTGTCGGTCACGCGTGCTTGTTGGACAGACTTCACCGTTTGCTCAGGTTGGTCGCTTTCGACGAGTTCGGATATCACTCGCCACTCATGTTCGTTGTGGCCTAGAAGCAAGCTCAGTAAATGGGCACTGCGGAGTGCCAGTTGAACTCTGCAGTGCCCTGTCAAGGATGAACGGTGGTCGAGACTAACGGTGGAGTGGCATCGAAAGGAGGGAACGATTAAATCAGCTTGTATGCAGGTGATAGACGGATCGTTGCATCACATGAGAGATGCCGACGGCTTAAAGATGCCTTCAATCCAGCAGTGCATTGAACATGATTGATGGGGATTATTGGAGAAACATTTTGACGTATATAATACGAGTAGAGCATGTTTTCCTAATTGTAAATCCCAGTAAGGGGCCATCCATTTAGTAGGTACGCAAAAATCTGTCAAAACTTGACCCCTCCCCCCTCCCTGTCAGCACGCGTACTTTTTACCACCTCCACCTCCACCTGCGTACGTACGCTTGACGGACCCCCCCCCCCCCAGAATCCTATAGAACGGCCAATATATAATCCACGCAGAATCGATCAAGGATTCATAATATTCTTGGTTCTTTTGGTAAAGTCACGTGGAAGGGAAACAATAAAATAATAAAAATATAAAACAATAAAATTCTCACGACGTTTCGACTGCAACACAAGCAATCATCATCAGGTGTGATTTTATTGTTTCCCTCCCCGTTTCCTGTGCGTACGTACATTGTTAGTAGACCACCCACACGCAAGAGTACGCATTTGGGTTAACTCCCCCGCCTCCCCCCTCCATGATACGTACTAAATGGATGGCCCCTAATATCTAAGCCAGTAAACCCACTTGCTACACTTCTTCTTCCTCACCAGATAAGTCCTCCCTGACCACAGCTCGGCCTGCGTGTCCGTTAGCATGGCTGAAAGTTCTCTCAAGACAGGAGAGCGGTAGCGGTGGGTGAAGAGGGGGGATTGGTGGTGTCAGATTCAGAGAGGGGGGCAGCAGGGAGGAGAGGTTCGTACTGAGCCACGGATAAGTCAAGCGGCCCCTGGGGGGTGTGTGGGGGGGGGGATCATAGCAGGAAGTGGGAAGGACACGGAACGAGCACTCTGGGCCGTAATTACAACACGGGCACAATCACAAGACCTCGACGAGACAATGGCGGGCAGGAAATGAATCCGGCAGCCGCAGGTGGCTAGCGGAGGGCGAGATGCAACGCACGAGCAACACCCCCCTGCTGGGAGCGCGGGACGCTGCCGGACAGCCACCGCTCCGACTTAAAAGTTTCCAAAGAGCGGAAGGCGAGCAGAGAAAGTGGTTTCCCGTCTCTCTGGGATGAACTCTCCCTCCTCCTGCCCTTCCTCCTCCTCCTCCTCCTGTGGGTTGTGTTCATCTCTCACCTAGGCAACGACTGTCGTGGCGATGCATTCCCCGGCTCCCTTCCCCCTGCCCACACCTCCCTCCTCAACGATGAAAAGTTACTCTGAATACACTGTCATATAGCACACAGATGAACGGAAGCTACAATGGGAAGAATAGTTCTTATCTATAGTAATAAATATAATAAAGTGCATTTGGAATTCACACTGTTATTCTTATCGCGGTGCAAGGCCAACGTGAAGAAAGGCGCTACGCATTTCACACAGTCTGCAGTAGTTACACAGTATGGGTCTCTGTTGCAAAGTGCAATCCCACATGAGTAATTTGCAGGTAATCTTATGAATGTTGGCAAAATGCGTATGTGAATATACATGCGATATTGCAGGCTGTGTTTCTTGGCTCGTCAAACACAATCTTGAAACTTACGTTGGGGATATTTTTTTCTTTAAAGTCACCGACAAACACAGCGTGACATCACCCGAGTGACATGACCACGACAACACTGCCATACATCGCGATGCGATGTCAGTGTAGTGATACCACTCCGGTACACTCGAGTGGCGAGCTCGACCCAAAAAGTCTTCTCGTTAACGAATATTCACACTTGTATCAGACGGCCTGGGAATATCAGCCGTAGGGTATGTATCTGAAGGATAACAATAGGTTCTTGAAACCCTTCCAGAATCTCTGCAATATGAAAGCAGACAGGGGTCCTCCTCCTCCTCTCAGGACAGGACAGCAGCCAACCCCATGTAATCATGGGACTGTTGTCTTAGAAATAGATGTATGTCTATGTATGTATACAGGTGTCTATGTAAGTAGTGGTAGTGGAGTGGTCAGCGCGCTCTGCTACGAACCCAGTGACCCGAGTTCGATTCCCGCTCACGGCCAACGCCAGTGACGATTATCTGAACCAGTCCTGGTCCTCCCCTAGGTCACCTCAACCTCAAATGAGTACCTGGTGTGGTGTGTAAAACATCACCACTGGGGAGATAAAGGCGGCCGGGCGTGGTGGTGGCCACCCACCCCCTCGTGTGCCGTTCTGGCCTTCATAGGTGCTCGCTAACAGCACTTGCCTACAGTATGTTAAAGCTATACAGGAGATGTTTGTCTGTGTGTGCGCGCAGCTAGGTGAGTGTGTATGTATGTATGTATGACCGCGTGTTGTAATTGCACGAGAGTACGTGAGTATGCATGAGTGTGCAGAAGTGCCTGTTGGCAAGTTTGTGGTTAAGTGTGTGCATGAGTGTGCGTGTGTCTAAGAACGAGTGTGTGCGTGCAGGGGTTTGTGGATGTGCAAGTACTGATGTGTATGTTTAGTGTATGTGTGTGCATGAGTGTGTAGGTCAGTGTGTGTGCATATGCATGTTTGTGTGTAAGTATTTGCAAATACGTGCATGTGGAGACTGTTTAGGCTATACGGGGGATATTTGTCTTTATGTAAGTATATGGTTCTCTGTGGATCATCTACTACAGCACAAAATGCTTCCCACAGATGAAGCACATAACCCATCACGTGAACTCCAGTCATCCTCGCAGCGGCTTTTGGTTAGCCATCAAATAAAAACGGTCACCGCATCACGCGCTTTCAGATGCGTGTCTGCGGCCGTCTGGAACGTTCTTCCTTGCGATATTAGGAAGCCACTGGAGCTATGCACTTTTAAATCATCTAGATTGAAAACGAATTTCTTTAAAACTGCTTTTTGTGTCTAGTTTGTTCTTTCTCTGCACATACGATTATCATGGTTGGTTATGTATGGTGCTAAAGAAGTTCAATATACTGTACATACAATTACATAGAGACCCATATACTTCCATAAACCTACATAGATATCCATACACTTACACAAACCATGTACATGCAGATAATTAGAGAGACCCATACACTTGCATCTTTTCCAAAGCCAAAAATCACATTGTTGCATGGGGTCGGCAGCTCGGAGTTTTCTTTCTTCAAATCAATCACCGCAGATTCTGGGGGCTCTCACACCGCGTAACTCATGTTGCGCAAATTGCATCCAAAGTAATCCTGTTCTGCATGGGAGGAGGCAATCACCGGCAGATGCACCGCGTGCACCACCCACCTCCCTGACTGGCGATTGGCACTTCGCTCGCTGGATAGGGGGGGGGGGAGCAGAAGGAAACGGCGCTACTGGGTGTGATCAATGGCCTGAATTCAATTACTTCTGCCATCTCTCGGCTAATTGAATGCAGTGATGTGTGCCGCACACTGCTCCCCTCTCTTCCCTGCCGCAACCATTATCGCCGACTTGTCTTGATTAGTCAGGGCTTTTGATTTTTTTTTTAAACCGCAATCGGGGGGGAAAAGAGATCCAACGGCACAACAGGAAGGAGTAACACCGGACTACACCACTACCACCATGACCTCCACCACAACGGCCAAAATCCCCACTACCATCACCCCCACCCACAACTGCGACCACCACCACCACCACCACTGCGGCCACCATCCCCACCACCACTTGAACCACCACCACGACTTCCGCTATCATCACCACCGACCGCTGGCGGCGGCATCGGCGGCGGCGGCGACGACGGTTGGGTGCCACAAGCCGCCACCGTCATGCGGCGGTCGGCGGGGCCTCACCTGGGCGAGTCTGGCTGCGGCCTGCCACGGCCCCGCGTGTCGGCCTCCCACACGCCGTTGGCTGTGGCGTTGCCGATGGCCAGCATGACGGCGGCGAGCTCCAGCGGCCAGTCGTCCAGGTCGAGCGAGCGCACGCGCGACAGGTGCGTGCCCAGGTTGCGGTGGATCCCCGAACACTCGATGCACATGAGGGCGCCCAGGTTCAGGCTCGCCCAATCCGGGTCTGCGGACGGACGGACGGACGGACGGATGGGACAGATCGATAGATGGACAGATGAATGGACAGATGGGTGCATAGATGGGTAGAGGAATGGACAGAGAGATGAACGGACAGATTGACGAATGGGCAGATGAAATTATAGACGAACGATGCATGTGTATGTGTGCAACAGCACTTGCCCCTACAGTCTGTTAAGGCTACACGGGGGATCTTTGTTTTTGTATGTACGTACGTATATATGTGTCAGTGCTACCCAAACGTCTGCGTGCATGTATCAGCGTCGTGCATGTATGTGCCTGTGTGTATCGGCGTCATTTGGATTAATGTGTGTGCCTGTGCACATGTGTGTGCCAATGTTAGTATCGTTGAAGAATCCATGGGGGGGGGGGGGCAACCACTGCCACCCCCCCGCCCCCACAAAACGCAAAAAATGTGTATTTTATTGATATTTACCAGAGAAAATATACTGACATTGTTTTCCCAAATATGATTAATCCAGGGCTATATTTTAAAAGCTTAACATTTCATAACCTACCACCCCCCCCACCTTGGGACGTTTCTATATCTGCCTCTAATCCACATGTGTGCGCGTGAACGCGCACGTACGTATACATGGTGCTGGCCACACCACCCCCTCACCCACCGTGCCAACCTCTACAGACACTCGCTCACGGCACTTGCCTCGGCAGCCCGTTAAGGCTATATGGGAGACCTTCGTCTCTGGTGTAAGCATGTATGGATGTTGAAGTTCTTTCGCACCGTATGCTGCCAACCGCGCTAATCGTAGGTGCGGGGAAGGACGAAAAAACAAGCAGTTTTCAATATAGATTTAAAGTGCACAGCTCCAGTTTCTTCCTAATATTGGCAGGAAGGGGCGTTCCAGTTGGCCGCAGAAGCGCATCTGAAAGCGCACGATGCAATAACTGTCTTAGTTCGATGGCACGCCAAAAGCTGCTTCGAGGATGACGGTAGTTCACGTGGTGGTTTACACTCCTCGATGAAAGACACGTGCGTGAATGTATTGGTGTGATGTTCGTGGACACGCGGATCAAAAACTCACTGGGGGCGTCACAGTCCACGCACACAGAATTCCCGCGCACGTTCCGGATCGACTGGATCGTGACCGCATCGCTCTGGCTTCCCGTCCGCGTCTGCTCCACAGGGAGAGCCGTACATGCACACCATATCCACCTTCATAGATGCTCTGTGACGGTCAAAGCTCGTGAACAGACCACATTGTTCATGAGCACCTAATGAGGGAAGGAGTGGCACACTGGAGGGTAGTAGGCCCGAACCACCCTCACCACCTGTGTCTCCCCATCTTTGATGTCTATTCATCACATCAGTTACTTACTTGAGGCTGAGTAGACCTAGGGGAGACCAAAGAATCTTTGAGATATGATTGCTGTTCAATCTTGATTTTAAGCTTTAGTGACTGCAGGAATCCATACTCTTTGGTTCTTTCGGTAAAGTCACGTAGTAGGCAGAAATAAAATAAATCACGACGTTTCGGGCGCAACACAAGCATCCATCATCAGGTGGGAAAGCTTTCCCACCTGATGATGGACGCTTGGGAAAGCTTTCCCACCTGATGATGGACGCTTGGGAAAGCTTTCCCACATGATGATGGATGCTTGTGTTGCGCCCGAAACGTCGTGATTTATTTTATTTTATACCTACGTGACTTTACCGAAAGAACCAAAGAGTATGATTGCTGTTGTTTACGGCCAGGATTTAAACCCTTCTGGATTCTAGTCCAGGAACCACTCAACCTCTGCTCCCCACTACACACCCCCACACGTGTATATATATATATATAAACACAAAGCATTGTAAATGAATTTTAGGTTAACTTAAATGCATTTCCAACTATTTCACGACAAGTGCCATTTATTTAAGTAGGGTATTTCAAAAATAGATACTTGGGTGAAACGTAGCTATTTCTCCTGACTTCTTACAAGAAACGACAGGGAAGTCGGACCACTCCACACCAACGCAGGCAATTCAAATCCCACCAATGCACGGGAACCACACCGGCGTCACAAACGAGAGCGTGCCACGTGCAGGTCAAAGGGCGTTAAAAGAGTGCCAGCGAGCGTTGGCCACTGTGTGCCGCCGACCTTGCTGCCGGCGCTGTGGCAGGACTGCAGGCTGGCGAAGATCTGGCTCTCGATGGCCTGGACCCAGGCCTCGCGCTCCTCCGCACTGGAGGCCTCCAGGTGCCAGCTCTGCCCCGTGAGCGACACGATGAGGAACTCAAACGACTCCTCCGCGTCTGTTGGGGCGGAACGAGGAGGCGGTAGGGGGGAGGTGGATTGGAGGGGGGGGGGGGGGATGGGGGGGTGGAGGGCGTACAGGGGTGAGGATGTTCCAGAGTGCCGGTTTTAATAATAATACTAATTTTCGGCACTTTGTCAAACCACTGTCCGAAGAAGGCCTCCTCGTGCCGCGTCGATGTCAGGTGTTGTTTGATCATACTTCGCCACAATTGTCAGTGGGGGTTGGCGCTCGCTACAACACATTAACAAATATCACCGGTAGTTGCTTTACAACTCAAGGCTTTCATTGACATCACGAGTGTCGACTTCTAACCCCACTACGCTACGTCGTGGAATTCGTATTATTCAATTCGTGTTGTTCAGCGCAACAGCTTGGGAACGTCTCTCCCCCCCCCCCCCCAAAAAAGGCACGAGTGTGCACGCCGACCTCCACGGCCGGAACCTGGACCTGCCCCCCCACTTCTCCCCTCCCTAACACCCATCCCCCCCTTTCTCTCCCACAACTGGAAGGAAGCGGCCGCAGCCTTAAATCAATCAGCAGCGGGTACGGGGGCGATGATTTCGAGACGAGTTCAAAACTTTGGCATCGCCGTCGGAGCTTGAAAAGAAAAATAAGAGCGGGGAATGTTTGCGAGCGGCACCAAATCCCTACGCAGCGCGCAGAGGACCCGACCGCCAGTGTCCGGTTTGTGTTCCCGGCCTTGGAAAAGCTGTGACTGACGGGAGTATTTATTATGCATTGTTGCTCGCGACTATCCTCTAATGAGTTTTTTTATTTAAATAATAAAAACAACGTGGTACATTTCGACGTTGCCTTTCGAAGACCAGAGCCGGCGGACGCGCTTTGAGCCGCGTTGATTGGCGACGAGCTACGGGGGTGAAGAGACGCAAGAGCCAGATTGTGATTTTCAGCGCAGACGCGATGAGTTGGTGGAAATTGAAGTGATCTACTTGATATGTGAGCAACGCAAAAAAAAACACAATTCGCGCAGCTCAGAAACACGAAAAACATTTTAAAAAATGGATCGTGATGTTAAACGAGTTTAGTCAACACACACACACACTGGTACAACGAAGAATGCAACAAAAATGCAGAAACCGCTAATCGTACTAATTTACAAAAAACTAATTGGTGCATAAAGTGGTGTTAACAAAGACCGCCTCCATCAGATGTGAAAATGGTTACATATGTTCTCGTACATTGCTGCCCCTTGTTTTTAGAGGAGGAGGGGGCTTCCTTTGGAATTAAACAATTATGCATGAATTGAGGGGTGGGGGGGCAAGGGGGTGGGGGGCCCTAGAGGTTTGGCGAAAAGGCTTCGGAAGGCCGGACATCCTGGCCATGCCCGCTGTGAGCACAGACGCCCGTCGCTCTCTCTCTCTCTCTATCCCAGCGGCCACGGAGAGGCCGTGCGAATGCCACATCAAGGATACGCCACAAATTAATAACCTATGGCAACAAAATTAGCTTTGCGGCTCCCCCACCTCGCGCGTTTCCTCCCCAAAACAATACGCCGCCGAAAGGGCAACATCCGCCTTTCGCAAGGACAAAGACGGCCTGTGCCCTCGCGCGCTTCACCAACAAGGCCCGCTTTTGTCTGATGCTGTTCCAGCGATCGTGGGGGAAGCTTCGCGGCTCCCATGAAGCTCTCGGGAAATGGGAAAACGTGGCCAGGGCAGGGGCAGGCCCCGCGGCGGCGGCGGCGGCGGCCATTATCTGTCGGAAGGTGGAATGAACCGCACTGGCACAAACAATGGGGAGACGTGCGCAGACGAACAAGCGGACAAACAAGCGGACAAACGAGCGGACGAACGAGCGGACGAGTCATCGCCGAGGGGGTAGGAAGAGGAGTAAGCGCGCGGGGAGGGCGGGGGGGTGGGTTCCGACGGTGGGCCGGCCGATCGGCCGGCCGTACCTTCCGCGCTGTTGGCCGTGCCGTCTGGCCTCGGGTTGGCGGCGCTCTTTTTCCGCCGGTGCTTCTTGCGGTTGGCGTGCGGCGACGCAGGCGGCTCCAGCTTGGGGCTGGTGGTGGCGCAGGGCGCCAGCCCAGGGCCCAGGGAGTCGCACGTGCCGTCAGCTGCGCGGCCGCCGTGGAGGCCCCGGCCACGGGGCCCAGACGCATGCCGCCAACGGCCACCGACGGCAACCGGCACACGAGCAACGAGACACAGCGAATGAGGAAGATTCAACGTTTTTTTAGACGTTCCTTTGAGGGCATTGTCGACCGATGGTCCTAGCCAGTTTCCATTGATGCCATTCCCACTTTGCCGTCACGACCTTCTGCCAGATTCCATCGTTTTGCATAGTTGATGATATCCAACCACCAAGTTCTGGTCTTACAATTTCATCATCATCGTCACTACCACCACTGCCATCTGAGTTTAGGTCTTGCCCTTGTTCCATAATAAATACATCATCACCACCACCAGCATCTGATTTTAGAATTTCCTTGTCGTCATCGGCCTCTGGGTGCCGCTTCAAGGCCTGTCTGGGTAACATGCCCTCCTCCATCCTGCGTACGTGCCCCACCCATCATCATAACCGCCACTCTCCACGATTACGTTCTATTGTTTCCATAAAATAAGCTGACACGCAGGTGCTACATTATTCGCTACAAATTGCACCGTGAGGCCATGAGAAAGGGCGATGAACTGGGGAGACATTAATCCGACAATGAATAGATCTAGGATGACGATGACGACAAAGACAATGATGATGATTGTATTGGGATACAAACAAATATTACATTTAATTAATGAAGTCTTAAATTCGGCGCGTGTATCATGAGCATCTTGAAATGAAGCTGCATTTGAGACAAGATGTGAATGAAAATTGTTACAATTTAAATTTCATGGCTCAAGGCCAATAAAAGGAAGGCAATTTCCTTCTCAACTGAGCATCGAGGCAACCTGCCGTTTACAGCCCTGCAGAGCCAATTGTGGAAATTCTACAATCATATGGCCGGGGAGAGTCTATCCATATGAACCCGCTGTCGATTTCCTCACGAAGTGGCACTAATATGTAATGGCCCCAGACGTATGCATGTTTGTGCTGAACTTCTTTCGCACCGTATCAAAGCCAACCGTGCTGATCATCGCACGTGGGACAATGGGCTGAGTCAACTCCAACCATGATTTGAGCTGAGCTGCGGAGCCACCTGGCCGGATTGCGTCAAATTTAATCGATGACTTGGTCGGTACATTTCGAGTGAAACTGCATCCTCGGTACGCGTCGTGGATCGTAACATTTACATTAATTTTTTTTTGTCCATTGTTGTCATAGCTTGCGGGAAGCAGATAGGGCTCTGCCAGAAAAAAATACAAGCGCACACACATACACACACACACACTTGGCATTCAGGGTCCATTGAACAATAACAGTGGGTAGCCTGGCCACAAGGACGTGGCCAACAATGGCATGCCGATGTTTAGTGCTCTGTAAGCTCCTGCTTGTGAGAAATTTCCATAAATTCGAGAAAGCCAATAAAAACTCGCTTGGACGACGTCTTAGCGGCGGAGTAATAAAGAGGTTGACGAGGGAGAGAGCGCCCGCAAGGTACGCGCAACGGACGTCGTGCAGCAGCAACGTGATCCGCATTGTTGGGATCGACGCCGTGGTGTCCGATTGAAAGCCATCCTCCCCCCCCTCCCCTCCTAATTCAATTGGGCATGACCCCCTCGCATCTCATCACACGCTCCGGCCGCTTTGTCGAGTCGTCACCTCCACAAAGAAGCCTCCCTGCGACGTGTCAAGCAAGCGGTGCGTCCACGCGCGCCACGCTGGTGTCCCCGGCGGAGGGACACTACACCCGCACCCACGCCCCCTTCTCGGGATTGGTTCTCGCTCGCTCGCTCGCTCGCCGGAGTGAATAAAAAAAATGAAGAATATTCCACGGCGTGCGACTGTAGTCACCGATCTCGAACTACGGACCACACGGTTAACGCCACTGCCCGCTCACATCGTTCGCCGGCGGCGTTGCCGACAGTCGCCGCGAGGCTGACTCCCGACGCCGCCCACTGGCTCCCTCCCCACCAACGGCGACGCGAAGTCGACATGCAACGTTGCTAATTCAATCCCTCGCCGTGCGAAAGACGAAATTAAGAGAAGCGTTCGAGGAGGAGGAGTGCCGTCCCGTTGGCCGCGCTTCCCCCGGGAGCCTCCGCTCGCTTTCACGGTTTGGGCGAGTTCTGACAATGCCGCTCGTCTTCACGGCCCCGAGGGGGGGGGGGCGGTCGGCGGGGGGGGGGGGGGGGCGACCGCCGGGAAGCGATACATCCCGAAACGCTTGGCGCAATGTGGTCGCGACCGGTGTGGGGTTTCCGAACGACGCTCTTTAAACGGGCGGGGGACGTTTAAGATCGTCCCGTATCATCAAAGCAGCACGATCGCGACCCCGAATCACTCCCCACCCCCCAACCCCTCACATTCGCTCCCGCGTCGGTCAGTAATCAAAGCGTGCCATGCATGTAACCGGAGCCCTCCCATGCAGGTCACCCGATACGGAAAGAACACGGCACGCAAAGGTTGAATGGCGCTCCAGCGATCGGCCAAACAGAATTCCTCGTGATATTGAGTTGCGTTTCGAGAATCTTTCGTCTCGAAGAGAACCGTTTCGGGAGCAATAAGTGTTACCGTTTAAGCATGCACGTTTTGAAAAAGATGCGCGCCAGAAAGTGGCGGGATTGCCACTTCCCACGCTCAAGGAACGTCAGCCTTGCAGTAAGGTATCGCTTGGAAGTCAGGCGATCCGCGTTACAATTGAGGGAGATGAATACCACACCCCCGATTGCCCCCAGCCACAACATTCTTAATTAGTCTCAATTATAAATCAAGAAAAAGGCATGCGCGCGCAGGAAACTGTTACAGTACGTTTAGACACGAGGATGAGTCCAATTCCATGAAAGTGCCAGAAAATGTATATAAAATACGTGCTTAATTTATTGTGTCCATTAAGAGGCATATGAAATTTAAAAAAAACCCTCCTGCATAAAACTATTTTGCAAGCTTCACAGCCAATTGATCAATGCTGTCAAGAGCCTAACGATGCATTTTCAAATGGAGGTAAGTGTTACTGGCTTGGCTGTACCCTCATAATAAGCAATTTACACAGTGGGAGACAGCCAATGCGACGCCCAAGCATTAATAGGGATGCGCTTACACGGTCACACTTTAATTAAATCAATAGCCACTAATTGTCTCTGCACTGGGTTTAGCACAATTGCCATTAATTACTGCTACAAATGATCAATTTCACTCCCGGTTTATATTAATTACTCAGAGTTATTATTGGAAAACGTTTAACTCTGAATGCTAAAGGTTTTTGCGTTCAATTAGTCAAAAATGCCCCACACGTTTGTTAAGGCGTTAAATGCACAATTAGCAGCGTGTTGTCCGCAACAAAAGCTGGTAATTAGAAAAGGGCTTCTACTCAAATTGTCCGTCCAGCATTCAATTTTACGCTTGGCTTATTTTACATAATTTACATTGAAACAAAAATATATATATTATTTTCATCAAAAAGAAGATTACAATCTGGACACACCAGAGCCAGCGTGCGATAAATTGCGTTCGATTGCAGGTGGTCAGTCTCACGGTGCCCACATTCCTCCAGTCGCGGCGAGTCAGTGGAGCGCCGTCAGCCGCCACCAAGCGGGCCGGGGGACCTCGACGAGGTCCCCGTTAGAAAGGCGATCCGCGCGCAGCCGGGGCGCCACTTCCGAACTTCTAAAACACCACGCAAACACGTGTCCGCAGACGAGCAGCGCCAAGCTCTGTGAACACACCAGAGTGTCTCTAGCTTAAACCTATTTCCTGCGCGTTCGAAGTCTGCGCTCCCGAGAAGCGCGCAGGGAAAAACCTTTGGACCGCGCCAAATTTCTCGCAGGCCTGCACCGGAATCTGCGAGAGCCTGATTTCTGTGCCAAAGCTCAAAAGTACGTAAAAAAAAACACAACAACACACAAGCAACGGACAACTAAAAACGAAGACCCGCGCAACACGCATGCTAAAATGTTACCGTCGGTGCACCGCGCATGCTTAAGTGAGCTGTCATAATTACAGACAAATTGCACATTACGATGCAGTAATGCGACGTGTGTGCCCCGAGGATAACGCCGCACCATATTTAACCAATTGCCGTGCCCATTTGGCTGCGACCGGGTTCCCTAATGGGACGCCTGCTCGCTGGCCCGACGGGAGCTGTGCCCGTTTGGGGGGGGGGGGGGGGGGGGGGCACGGCTCTTGCATGTGTACCGCAAGGCCACGGCATAATTGCTTCCTGTTCCCGTAAGCCGATATCGTGGCCCGTAGGAGGAGGTTAGAAGAAGCAGGGGTGCATGGAAATTAAAAACATCCCGCACATGAAAAGCTCCTTTTGATTCGAATGTCGGCGGGGCAGCGGGGCGGCGGGGCAGCGGGCCGTGCGAGCGGCGAGTGAGCGGAGGAGAGCCTGACTCTGGTCCAAATCAAGGACCACACATCGCGCGCCTCCACGCATGCGCGCATGCCTGCGCACTGCTACCCCGTGGCGGTATCACCCCCACCCACTATCTCGTGGGTCACGGTCAAACTGCGACGTCCAACCGGACATCCCGCCACCCCCCGCGCCGGCGGTCAATGTGGCAGTGGGCTTCCGTGACATCTGTTCGCTTGCGACACCGCCCAGCGCTTGGCCGGCGGTGAAATCGCCACCGACGCTGTACGGCGCCGCGGAGGGAGATCCTGGTGCGAGGCAATCTGGGCGAGACTGCTTTGAGTGCTAAATAAATAAATAAGCAGGGATTGCTGTGTGAGCTATACTCTCTTAGTAAAATAAAATACAACATATATTAATCGCTTTGTCACCTGGCACGTAATGATGCGTCGATTCATCATTTACTATTGATTCTTATGCTCATGATGCACACATTGAATCGCGTGCAATGCAAGTTTCCCTCGCTTTGTGCGATTTCACGTATTTCAACTCAAACTTCGCTCTATGCGGTTCAAATTCACTCAGCATGTGGCAAAGCAGTCGGACGTGGGACAACATTGTCTGTATGTACTGTCTGTGTACTGTTTGTGTACTGTGTGTGTACTGTGTTTGTACTGTGTGTGTACTGTGTGTGTACTGTGTGTGTACTGTGTGTGTACTGTGTGCGCTACTCGGCGAGCAGCTGTCTCGTGCGGTTTCGCTTTGTGTGGCCTTTTCTGAATGCATCTACTATCACATAAAGCGAGGGAAATGTGTACAACAAACATAATCTATAAGCAATAGAAATTGTAGACGATAAAATGGAGGCAAAAAAAGCAGTTTCATGAATCGAATCGTGACCCAGAACCGTGAACAAGAACCGTGACCAAGAACCATGACCCAGAATCGTGACCAAAAACCGTGACCCAGAATTGTGACCCAGAACCGTGACCCAGAACCATGACCCAGAATCGTGATCCAGAACCATGACCCAGAATCATGACCCAGAATCGTGACCCAGAATCGTGATCCAGAACCATGACCCAGAATCGTGATCCAGAACCATGACCCAGAACCGTGACCCAGAATCGTGACCCAGAATCGTGACCCAGAATCGTGACCCAGAACCGTGACCCAGAATCATGACCCAGAACCGTGACCCAGAATCGTGACCCAGAACCATGACCCAGAATCGCTGTGGGGGTTGGGTGAATCATTAGAAGCCTAATTGGTATCTCATCTCTCACCCACAGTTCCTCTCCCCACACCTCACCCCTCCCTGCCACCCACCTACGAACGCTGTACGAGACTCAACCTCAACAGCCATGAAACAAGGACAGAGCATTCTACTCAAGTCTCCCTTCAGTGAGGCTGGTGGGGCTCGTGAGGTTAGTGAGGTCGGTGGGGGTGGTGGGGGTGGTGGTGCCGATGGGGGTGGTCGGGCTGGTGTGGGTCGTGAGGTTAGTGAGGCTGGCGATGCTGGTGGGTCCGGTGATGGTTGGTGATAGGTGGTGGTGGTGGTGGTGGTATGGGTGATGAAGCCAATGGAGGTGGCGGGGATGACCCCGCGCCAGCGCTCCTCATTACCGTTGGCCAGGGCGGCCCCACCGCCGGCCGGGCCTCCAGCCTCGCCCCACTGCTCGGCACCCGACACTGAAAAGGAGCGCTGGTGAAGACCCTCGGGCCGTGCCACGAACGAAACGAGGTTGATGCCGCTGGTGGAGCGCTCGGCCTGCACGCCGCCTGGGGACAGAGAATCATGGTCAGGGGTCGGTTTGTGGGGGGGGGGAGGGGGGGGGCAGAGGAGATGAGAAGCCGTGAGGTGATGTGGCGGCACGGTCCTGTACCATGAGAAAGGGGCTCGCAGGCGCTGCGCAGGAGAAATAGAACAGAAATGGATTTGCAAACGGCTGACAATATTCAATGAGCTGTGGTGGATGATCTGAATGAATTAGATCATTATGACTCAAATAAGAGGATCGTAGTCTTCATCAATTGGAGGTCTTCATCCTTTTCCGACTGATGAAGACTACGACCCCCCCTTCACGCGACCGTCGCAACGTGTCGATTATTAAAACCATAGGGTTGGTCTGCCACAACTTGTTTGTCAACAAGAACAAAAGTGCCCATGCAGCCCGGTAAATGTTGTTTGCGTGTCCATTTTTGACGACGGCACAAACTACCTTTAAAATATCTGCGTCGTCACTCAGCATGGCCTATCACGGAATCGAGAGACTGGAAATACCCTTTCTGTCGTTGTCATTAACGGCGCTTCACGGTTGAAGAGTGCACAATAAGTGTCGGGGCAATTGCTCCATGAAAGCCGCCCTTTTGTGGATCCAAAATAAAAACGTTGCAAAAATGAACAGTCGCTCCTGGTGCTTAGCTGCAATCGTGGAGCGGTGGACACACTCGCTCTGAACAAGAGCTGCCGCGTCTGACTTTTGCAAATCAAAGATTTTCTTTCCTGCAAGCAATTGTCTGTTGATGTCAACGACAATGAAGCGTTTGTATTCTGCTTTTTCAACACCGCCGCCAACGTGACTCCTGGACCGTTTATTATAGCAGAGTCGTGTGTGGCATTAAAGCTTCTTTTTCGTGTAGTGCCAATCATTCCTCCATCACAAATGGGCTTACACCAATGACTAAACAAATGGAGCTTTTATTGCCTACCACAAATGTTAATGCATGAAATGATGCATCGTGCATAATGATTAAAGTGAAGCCAGAAAATTCGGAGTTATTTCCTCCTCGAATGAGCATCGAGGCAATGCTCATCTCCTGTTTACAGCCCGGAGCCAGTGTTGGAAATTCCACATTCCTATGGCAGGGGCGAGTCCATCCATAGCACCTGACCTTAACCAAACAGTGGTTACTCGTTTTATCGACCCTGTTTTATTGATGCGTGAGTCAACCCCCAACCAGGATTTGAACTTTCCGATTGTGAGCTGCTCGCTCGTCCGTTGAGCTGGAGTAATGATCCCATTATGCACTGCTAAGGAGCACTGTGGGCCAAAGCAAACTTATAAGGTCAACTCCGTTCAGTGTCTCCACCTATTAACAACATGCCAATAGGCTTATAGACTGAAACGTATATCTCTGTTGATATGCAGGGGGGAGTGCAAAAATACGTGCGCTTTTAACCAATATCGTTTTTGCACAGCAAGCTGTTCTCAAAAGCACTGCGATTCCGAATTCTTGTTCGTTAAATTGTGGCAGCATGTGGCGTGGGGTGGAGCCAATCCCACGCCAGCTTACTTAATGACCCGCGACTGATGCGTTCAATTAGCGACGAGCGCACCCACAAACGAACGTCGGCACTGGGAAACTATTGCATTTACCGTCTGAACGTTCAAGAAAAAAAAGATTCTGCATCTTTAACAACTTTGTCAACAATTGGCGTGGCGTATTAATTGCGTCGGCGGCACGGGTGTTGTTTGTTCGGCAACAAAAGTAGCATTTTCTTTTCACGGGAAACAAAAAAAAACGTATTCCTGCATCGTATTAATTGCATTATCATGATTATATTATTTACTCATTAATACGGTTTTTAAACTCGCGTACCAAAAACCTAACATTCCTTCATTTTTAATCACACTCTCCGTTTAATGAGAAACAAACGCACTGCCACTAAAAATATCGCAACTACTAAACTATTTGCACGAGGCAGAACACGGGGTTACCACTTAAAATACCAACCTCTAAATTAGAACAAAACAACCGGTCACAGATGTTGCGATAAAACAAAACAAAATTTTATATTAACTGTCATTGGGATTAGTAACACGATGCTAAAATGAGATTTGTTATTTTATTTGAATCATCAAACTAAAAGTATACTATGAACATTTGTTTTAATTTGACCAGGTAAGGCCCATTGATCTATATAGCTCTTTTTCAGAAGCGATCTGGCCACAAATGATAGCTCAACAAAGTTGCTTATCATGCAGACATTCATAGGAGCCAAATACTCTAAACACATATTTCTGAATGCGGAGGGAAAACTCGGACCACGAGGAGACCACGTAAACTCCATATAAACAGGTGTCAGGGGTCGGGATCGAACCCACGTCCTCCTTCATACCAGGCGAGGTGGTTAACATCTCGCCACCACGATGTTCGGGGGGCTAGGTCCTGCAATGGCCGTCTCGTACCGTGGAAACGAAGGCCCACAGTGAGCCACTCGCTGTTACACACAGCGGAGAGAAGCAACGACGGGCGTCGGCACTCACGGACAAACCCCGGGTGTCCGGTGAACGAGAGTGGAAACGACATTCGTTGCCGTTGAAAAATATTTCCGTGCTCACCGACACCCATGGAGGCCGAGGTGGACAGCTGCGTGTTGCTGGGGTCCTTGGTCAGACCGTTCTCCTTGGGGCTGGACCCGGGGGCCCCCGCGTAGGCCCGCGGTGGCCGCTTACCGGGGACCTTCACCGTGGTGCGCAGCAGGTCGATCTCCTTCCCGTGCACGTTCTGCATATAATCCTGCTGGGGCAAACGGGCCACGGCGTTTAGCAATCATCTGGCGCATGCAGCATGCACCAGCCCTTCGTCAACACACTACTGCGGTGATCGGCCTCCGCGTGGCCTCCCCGCACGGACGTGTCAGTCATCGGAATCGTTTGGCCATACTTCAGCACGCTGGTCAGTGCGAGCAGGGTTTATGGGTCCCTGGCAGACTTGAGCAGGCACGTGACTTGTAGGCACAGCGAGCAGTAGACTCGATATTACGTGCTTGGGGGATAAAATAATTTTCGGTTTCCCCAGTCGGACAGACTGGGCTAAAATTAAGCCTGAGTGTGGGTTACTGAAGGGGCGAGCTCAGTTCAGATGTCGCCACCACCGATGATAGCCTTGGCCGGGAGTCAAACTCAGTTCGTGGGCTTCACTCCGCAATGTGCCCAATGACTGTGGCGGCGCTCCGCAAGCATGTGACGCAGCACGAACTTGTTTAGCATGCACCTGAAAGAAGGTGGATTGGTAAATCTGGAGCCAAGCGCTGTGGGTGGGACACAAGGAGTGAAGTTTGGGAACGCCGGGGTGCAGCATCGCGTGACGCGCGACAACGCACAACGCACAGTTACAAATCACACGCAATGGACACACGACACAGGGCGACACATCACACTGCCACGTTAAGTCACACGTTGATAGGTATGGCGCGTCACGCCACAGGCATTGGAGACCACAAGCAGGTTTCCACTGAGAGTACGGGTCAAGTAAAGTTTTGAGGTCAAATGAAGTTCCAGTTGCGTTTGAAACGAATCTTAAAGAGACCTCGTCTCACGGAAATAACGGCACATCCTCCACAGCAATTGGAATTTGCGTTTCACTGCAGCCTCATCGCAAAGGAAAACGAAAAGGTACGCGCGGTAATGGCATGACACCGCAACAGAGCTGCGTTTGTCTTTGAATAAAATACAAATGTCCTGTTCGCTGTTGTAATTATATATTTTTTAGCAGTTTTACAGAAATATGAAGAAACTGTTTAACATCTTGAACAGCAAAAAGGAGGCAGTGCTGTGTGCTCGTTACAACGAGTCGGGAATGGCCCGCGAGTAATTACTTTCATACGGTTGATGATTATGAGCGCTCCCGATCAATTCCGGAATCGGATAATTAAGGAACCAATTACGCTATTTTAATCTGATCAGAAGCGCCTGTGTGTGTGTGTGTGAGCTGCAATCAGCGCCATACTCACGTAAGTAATGGATTGCCAGACGCCTCTTTTCAATTGGTTTAATTACCTGTGACACGTTAATAGCTTCTGATGGTGGGAAATAAGCGAATGTCTGCAAAAGCTAACCTTCTCATTATTATAACTCTCGTAATTTAATTTCCTATTTTATCTCCTTTGTTCATACAATTATGCAGCCAAATTAGCACATGCTATTCCTATCACAGAGTGATACAATTTTGCAATATTAAGCACAGAATGAGAGCAATTACTTAAAAATAAAGTCATGCACTCAATTCAAGAAGCTGCCGCAATAATGAATTAATTTGTAAACCAAGTTTATTATCCCGACTCGAAATGCATTTAGCCGTCATTACGGTGATCATCGCCTCTGGCCACACGGCCTGCAATGTCCCCCAATCTCATCAGATCTCAGCAGCTCAGCAAAGCTGAACCTGGACAGTCCTCCGACGGGTTTACCGCCACGACACAAACGGCGTTTTTCCATAGGGCGGCTTCATAATCCATTGTTGTTCTAGAGGATGGTCCAGATGTCTTGTGACCCAAAATGAATTGACCCCCCTTTAAACGTTGTTTTCCTTTGCTTAGTCGTTTCTGTTTTCACGCCCATTGGTATCCAAAAAATATGATTAAGTTCTAGAGAATTAAATGAAGAGGGGGGGGGTCACAAGACCACCTTGCGCACACACAAACACAACCCCTCAACTTCCCCATCCCACTCTGACCAGTATGGTAAAGTATGGTCAAATAATCTTTGGGGTCAATTAACCCATGGGGAGGTCCTCATTCAGCAGTGGATTGACAAAAATGGGATGTACACGTAGAAGCCAAACACTCATTCATGGAATCGGCCAAACATCCAAATGGCGTAGACACCCTCCTAAAAGGTCTTGCTCCTCAGTGGGGCTCTCGTGGATAAATAATGAGGTAATTATTCTTATTCTAGTCCATCAGGCAGCCACGAGTTGGAATACATTGTATTTTATATAAATAGCACAAAACGCATCGACTTATATTTTCTACAAAGGTACAATTCCCCCAAGTAAAAACGAACCGCGAGACCTCGCTGTGACCCTTAAATCTGCGAGGCCTGATCGGCTGGGCTCATAAGCTCATTTAACATCGCCCCCCCTGCCACTTCCGCCCGCGTTGTGTGGTGAGCACTGCTTATTCCCCCCCGCCTCCCCGCGGATTGTTTGTCCACATTTGCTAAGTCGCTTATTGTTCTACAAGGCTCTGCCAAACAAGCACCGCGCCCCCCAGGCATGGAAAGGCTCCTTAAGTCCATCCATGGGATCAAGGCCCAGCCACTTGGGTCCTTTCTAGGATCTGCTGGAGGCTGTGTTGGGCCTGCCTGCTACTTACGGTTATCCGCTATCTGAGCTCTGACAAGAGGGTTTTGCATTTAAGACAAAAACTAGACTGTAATATAAAGAGTATACATAAACAACTGATTATGTCTGAATTGTGCAATGTTTCCGTGTAGTAAAGTTTAAAAAAGTTGGTTTTATTGATGTTTGTTGTGTTTACATCTTTCTCCGCTTGTGCCCATGGCGTGTTCTGCGCCATTGTATCTTTGATAAAATACTACTTTGGAGGAAAAATATCTACGGGGAATTGTGTTTAATTTACAATTGGGCACGAGAAGTGTATTTAATTTTATCAGCAACTCGTCGCTCTAGATGTTCAGTTCTCCCCGCACTTAGAGTGAAACGTCGGACACCATGTCGACCAACACGCGGTACAACCCGATAGAAAAAAAACACATAAAAGCAAGTCGTTAACTAAAATACGTCTGCATGGCAGGAGAGGTGGCTCTAGTCAGGGACACTCAGCCAGCGCAAATGAGATTTCACGTTCAAATCTGTGTTTCAGCTGTATGTGATTAAATTGGCTTCTCCAATGTAAAAAGCTGACGATCTCAATCCAGTAAACGATGACTGCCCCAAAAATACATGAAATTCAATTTGTTTCCTCACTTAATTTTGAGCTGGTGATCTGGGTTGTGTGCTTTACACACACAGTATGGTGATGTCATGTGACATGCATGCAAGGTATGATGGGTAGGCCGATCCTTAGGTCACAATTGTGCTTTTTCCCGTCGAGAAATCACTGCTGTTTCAAATTATTATTATTGCTATTGTTTGTTACTTCCAACCTGCACACACTCTTTGTGTGATTTTTATCTCATAATTTCTAGAAAGTCTTAGAATTAGGTTTAACCAAGATGTGATTCTACACGTATTGTGAGCGCGGTACCCGGCTTTAATGCATTAATCGACGAATCGTCAGCAACCGCGGCCATGCCCATCAGCTCTGAGGCCTCAGTAAAATCAGCTGTTGAGACTGGCGCTCCTGGATGCAACCTTTGTGAATTTTACATTGAATACAAAAAGTTTGTCTATTTCTCAATATCCAATAATGGGTAACTGCTCCTATGCCAAATTGATACTTTTCACCTGTAACCATTCTTAAAATAGCATTTCAATCAAGGCCCCATAATGAATAGTCTGCAAATATAGTCTGCAACTATTCACTCAAAAGATCACGTTTACATAAATGTTAGCTTTTCAGGCCACAGTGTTATCGACAAAAGTGTTGAGCAACTGCGAGGCGTGTCTGCGGAGGGGCCAAGCGGGCGAGACCAGTGGGTGGCGAGCCTCTGGACGCAAGTAGCTGGGCCGTTCGCTCACCCACAGGCCACAGCCACCGGCTATATCACTGCCAGATTAAGCGCCTAACAATCCACTGATCCTCGAGACCAACACGGGTTTCCTAAGAAAATCCCGGGAGTAGCCATTGTGCGAGGGGATTACTGGGGTGGATTAGCTCGTGGGTGCCGTGCGTGCGGGCTAGGCCGGGTTAACTAGCGGTCACAGATCCTCGGAGCCTCCGTGCCCCTCGCCGGATAAGCAGGCTCGGAGCGTAGAACAACGCAAGCATTTTTAAGTGCCCGCGGAAGAGATCTGCGACCACCGGTGCTTGCCGTGTAAATGAGAGGCCAATTATGATCTATGCCAGCTGCAGTCGTGCCACAAAGGCTTTTGCCATCACTATCATCATCACGTCCGCAAAGTAATGCTTGTAAATTAAAAGAAATAAACTCCGACCGCAGTGATCATGTGCGTTGGACAGGACGGCAATTAATGATATTTCTGGAGCGGTAATAAATTGGGGGTACGAGCGAAAGCCCACGTGAACTGTAAGCGTCGGATGTTAATGCGTTGGAACAAATGCACTACTGGGGGGGGGGGGGGGGGTGGCGAGGGGGGGGGAAAGGAGGGGGTAGTGGCTCTGGGTAACTGATGCGTGCGGCACGATCGCTGCTCACGTGCAGGCTCGGGTGGTAGGTGAGGATGCCGTTGTCGCACAGGGTGACGTATTTCTTCTTCCACTCCTTGTTGAGCGACTTCCCACTGCGCTTCAATAGAACTCCCTTGGAAATGGGGGTGGGGGGGGGAAAGAGACAAAAAAGGACATTGTCTTGCGTGCCCATGAATGAAATATCCATTGTACGTTGGCGCAGCATTAGCGACGTAATTGATGCCCGAAAAATTACAGAGGGGATATCGGACGGTCTTGAAAATGCACGAGAATTAGCGTTCCGCCGGGCACGCTCGTTAGGGGACAAATGCCCGCCTTTCACGACCGGCATTGTCCACGAAAAGCGCTTTACTCCAACGCGGCATTCCTCATTCGGACAGCGACGTTTGTGCCCGACTGGTGAGAAGGAAGCGAAAAGACCACGCGAGTGCGCCGCGTGCTCCTGCAGGATAAACATTTCAAACCGCCAAGCGAATCTCGGCTCTTGACTTTGCGTGATTCCCCCCAACCGTTACACCCGGCGAGTCAGAATGCAATCTCTTGTGCTCCCCTGCCCATTGACTTTCCGGCGGCGGTGGCGGCCGTGGCGAGAGGAGGCAGCGTGGCTAATGTGACCCCGTTTAACCCCGGCGCCTCGGCCCGTCCCACCCCCCGGAATAAAACTGCCCTTTGTTGCGGCGCTCATCGCTCACTCGCGGAGGAGGCACTTCCCAGCCCGGCCGGGAGAGAAAGACGCGTGGGGGGACATCTTTTCCCAGCAGCCCCGTCGCCGCCGCCGCCGCCGCGGCCGCCACCACCGCCACCGCTGCGTTTCCACGCCCCTCAGGGATGCGGGCCCCACCTCATGAATCTCCTATTAATCACACGCCGGGGACACGTTCCCAGCCCACTGCCCTTTCCTTCACTTTCACTGCGCCACTTATAGCAGTTGTTAGGAGTCATAGCAATAACGATGGGGAGTGGTGGTGCAATGGTTAGCACACCGTTAGATGAACCACATACAGTGAGGGGAAAAAAGTATTTGATCCCCCGGCTGATTTTGTACGTTTTTCCACTGACAAAGAAATGATCAGTCCGTCGTTTTAATGGAAGGTTTATTTGAACAGTGAGAGACAGAAAAACAACAACAAAATCCAGAAAAACGCATGTCAAAAATGTTATAAATTGATTGGCATTTTAATGAGGGAAATAAGTATTTGACCCCTCTGCAAAAAGTGACTTAGTACTTGGTGGCAAAACCCTTGTTGGCAATCACAGAGGTCAGACGTTTCTTGTAGTTGGCCACCAGGTTTGCACACATCTCTTTGCAGATCTTCTCCAAGTCATTAAGGTTTCGAGGCTGACGTTTGGCAACTCGAACCTTCAGCTCCATCCACAGATTTTCTATGGGATTAATGTCTGGAGACTGGCTAGGCCACTCCAGGACCTTAATGTGCTTCTTCTTGAGCCACTCCTTTGTTGCCTTGGCCGTGTGTTTTGGGTCATTGTCATGCTGGAATACCCATCCACGACCCATTTTCAATGCCCTGGCTGAGGGAAGGAGGTTCTCACCCAAGATTTGACGGTACATGGCACCGCGTCCCTTTGATGCGGTGAAGTTGTCCTGTCCCCTTAGCAGAAAAACACCCCCAAAGCATAATGTTTCCACCTCCATGTTTGACGGTGGGGATGGTGTTCTTGGGGTCGTAGGCAGCATTGCTCCTCCTCCAAACACGGCGAGTTGAGTTGATGCCAAAGAGCTCCATTTTGGTCTCATCTGACCACAACACTTTCACCCAGTTGTCCTCTGAATCAGTCAGATGTTCATTGGTAAACTTCATACGGGCATGTATATGTGCTTTCTTGAGCAGGGGACCTTGTGGGAGCTGCAGTATTTCAGTCCTTCACGGCGTAGTGTGTTACCAATTGTTTTCTTGATGACTATGGTCCAGCTGCCTTGAGATCATTCACAATATCCTTCCGTGTAGTTCTGGGCTGATTCCTCACTGTTCTCATGATCATTGTAACTCCACGAGGTGAGATCTTGCATGGAGCCCCAGGCCGAAGGAGATTGACAGTTATTTTGTGTTTCTTCTATTTGCAAATAATCGCACCAACTGTTGTCACCTTCTCACCAAGCTGCTTGGCAATGGTTGTGTACCCCATTCCAGCCTTTTGTAGGTCTACAATCTTGTCCCTGACATCCTTGGAGAGCTCTTTGGTCTTGGCCATGGTGGAGAGTTTGGAATCTGATTGATTGCTTCTGTGGACAGGTGTCTTTATTACAGGTAACGAGCTGAGATTAGGAGCACTCCCTTTAAGAGTGTGCTCCTAATCTCAGCTCGTTACCTGTATAAAAGACACCTGGGAGCCAGAAATCTTTCTGATTGAGAGGAGGTCAAATACTTATTTCCCTCATTAAAATGCAATTCATAACATTTTTGACATGCGTTTTTCGGGATTTTTGTGTTGTTATTCTGTCTCTTACTGTTCAAATAAACCTACAATTAAAATTATAGACTGATAATTTCTTTGTCAGTGGGCAAACGTACAAAATAAGCAGGGGATAAAATACTTTTTTCCCTCACTGTAGTTGATGATGTTTAACAAAATACATTATCTATCCCAGCGTAATGCCGACCGAAATCTATGCCGGCTCATTGTAAAATATTTACATGGCGAGCGCACTGCATTGTAAACCCAGCGATCTGAATTTAGCGATTCCCTTCCACCGCTAACATCCAATGACGAAGTGGTCCTGGGTTCCCCACCTTCAGCAACGTGCACCGACCAGCACAACTGCCCTTGGGGTACGACGAATCGGGGCGACCACCCTGGGCCCCGCTCTTTGGGCGGGGGGGGCGCCACGCTTCGACGTCATGGTGTCAGATGCAGTACTTCCGGTTTAGTTTGAAGGTATTGAGGGGGGCCCCACACAATGGGAATTGCTCTAGGCCCCGCACCCCCCCCACCCCCCCCCCCCCATGGGTATCTCTGCTAACCAACGTAGTGAAGCATGGTCAAACAACCACAAAAACCGACACGTTGCAAGGAACCCTTCATCCAGCAGTGGTTAACAAAGGGACCTGCGAACAATAGTTCATAACAAACAAAGCCCAAAGCCCCCACACTTGCGATCTACCACGGCAGTCGCCAGCGGCAGATTTTTTTAATCAACGCGTCGTGGCGACAAGTCAGAGCGACGCTCGCTCGAGAGGCGGGGTAAATCTGGGTTCTACCACGTTTGGCTAGACAACAAATTCTACATTAAATATTCAGTTTTCGCCAGTCCGCATTAAATATTTCACTTTCGCCATCTCACATGAAATATTTAATTGCGTTCGTTTTACGCCGCACAATAACACATTTGTCTTTGATGCGTCTGAGTTAATGTCATATAAAGCGTTTTAATAATGCAGTTCAAGCGAAGGCGGTGGGGGACACGTGGCAGGGACTAGGGAAGAAATGGAGGAGGAGGGGGGGGGGGCATTTTCTCCATTGTCCATAATTATACCTAATCATCATCACTCTTTCTGAAGCCACTTACACCTAACGGAGCCTTTTAGTGCAGAAATGAAGCCAGATTGTTGATGAGATCTGATTATAGAGCCTGCCCGCGATAGCGCTGTCACACCAGTGGAGTAAAAAAAATTTTGAAAAAGAGATCAGAACGTTTAGGCCAATTCATTACGGATTAACGGCGCAAAATACAGAGCGGAGGGAAAGCACGCGTCGGAGTAAGGCCCTGTTCCGAAGCAGCTGCCAAAAACCAAACTACACGGTGACTCTAAAAATGTAAATCTATTTTTTATACATATAACATTGTTTCCGTCATAAAGACTAGGCCTGAGGCTGATTTAACTGCAATCACTTTGAAAATTGGCGATCATAACACAAAGTATGGTGACATTTTTTTAAAGAACACATTCGTGCGGCACCGGCGATGCCTGCAATCATAAACAATTATAGGCACGCAGGCAGGTTCACACAGAGCATCAATCCACTTGATAGTACGCTAATAGGGGGCCGTCAAATGGCACATATTGTATTGTCCTATCGATCTCCCAAGTCTCAATTCTGAAAACCCATCCATATTTATATTGCGACAAACGACATCAATTAAAGGGCGGTATTGGCCGTGCTCTCGTTATGCACGGGCCGTGGCGCGCCTGTTCCCCCCCCCCCCCCACCCAGTTTATCCCCATTAGCATGCTGCCCCGCTCGTGATGGATGGAACGCCAAGACGCCTTTTTCCAGCCTCTCAATGCCTGTGGCAGAATAAAGGGCCGATGGGAGGTCTCTTGCCTGCCTTTCTCATGGCTTTATAGGGATCTGTGCCTCTGCTCTGTGCCGCTGGGCCAGTCCTCGCATGGGGAGGGATGGGGGGGGGGGGAGTTTAATCCCACTAGAAACAGGCATTCTCATCCCGTGCCCTCGTCCAAGCCTCGGGGCCCGTCCACCTCCAGCCCCCACGAAACCCAGGCCGCCCGATTTCTGGTCCTCACTCTGCTGAGGCAGCGGCTTGTCAGAGGTCGGGAGCGGGTCAACAGGGGATTAAGATAACCTCGACAAAATGACTTAACGACCAGCGGACCCTTTCCACCATCGCCCCCCCCCCCCGGCCGTAGTCTTCCCCCCCGCCCCTCACCACGACCCACTCCATTAACTGGGCCGTTGATCAACAGACACAGAAGGAAGTTTTCTCCAGGCTTGTGGCTACATCATTAATTGGCATAAGGGAGCGGGCCGCGAGTTGGCGTCGAGTCTGGGTGAATTTACCGACAGAGCAGGGCGTGCGTTCAGGAGTGTGATAATAAGGCGCCATTGGTTCGTAAAGGTACGGAAAGAGTGCCGAGGATATTTACTAAAAGGACGAGCTGCACAGTCACCGACGGAACCCGTTTAGTAAATGATTATCGAGCAATTTTTTTTTCCTGGCATTTCCATTTTAATGAGAAAAATTAGAAGATGTTTTAATTATCACATTTAATGCTCCGATGAAACATATTTTCGCCTAAAAATATATATATATTTAATCAAAGACATTTTGTCACATCACAAGCAGAGCTGTGCATGGATGAGAATACAATTACACAAACAAGTCTGAGATCATTTGCCACGAAATGTAAAAAGGGAACAAAATATTCAATTATTTTAAAGATCGCAAATTGACAAAAAGAAAATTCAACGAAGCACTGTTTTTTTTTTTACATTTATAAACCGCACTTTGAAAAAGTAATTAAACACCTACTGTACACGGCGTACATAAACACGGGCGCAAATACGTATGTGCGTGCTTGTATAAAACGGAAATTTGAAAAGGGTTCATGCGAGACGTGTCGTTGCCGCGATTTATGCGCCCTCGTCGGCCCCCTATTCTGCCGAGCCTTACTAATGGAAACAACCGCTCGCAATTAGACAAGATTAATCCGGAATGGTAATGGCCTGTGTGATGAATATGGCCTAGCCCTAATGGCCCCGCTGATTGAAAAGGGGCCGGACGTGCTGTCTCGTTAGTAATATATATTTGTTTCGATCTCCCTGTGCTGCGGACGCAACAACATGGGCTCATGCGTCCTGTTTGCGTCCCTGCTTGTTCGTGTCCTGCTCGCTCGCGTCCGGCTCACATCCTGCTCATGTCCTGTTCATATCCTGTTCGCATCCTGTTTGCTTGTGTCCTGCTCGCGTCTTGTTGGCGTCCTGTTCGTTCACGTCCTGCTCACTCGTGTCCTGCTCGTGTCCTGCTCATATCCTGTTCGCATCCTGCTTATATCCTGCTCGCTCGTAACCTGCTCACTCGCATCCTGCTCGCATCCTGCTCGTATTCGGTTCACGTCCTTCTCTCGTCCTGTTGCTGAAGTGACAGTGTCCAGTAAAACCTCTCAAAAGTCGGACTCGAGTAAGCCGGAATCTAAGCTGTGCAAATAAATAAGATGTACAACATACGTGTTTAAACATTACAAAGCAGAACACCAAACTATTCAGTCAATCCTCATGCATCCATCTCACGCATCGACCATGACCAATCCACTGCTGGATCTGTCATACTCAGTAGAGCAAAAGCAATCGTGATAAGAGGAAGAAATTGGAGAGAGAGAGAGACAAAAAAGGACACGTCTGGACGAATGCAAGCGGCTTGCGGCGAAAGACGCCCGAGCGAAGGACTTGTGTTTCACAAGCTCTGAGACACGAAGCACGAGAAACAAGAACAACAGGCTAGGAGCCGGTGAGCCTGGGAGAGCCGTTTGGCTCACTCCGGGCGATAATAAACCCCCTGAAGCGCACGTTTTAATTTTTTCTCTCTCTATCACTGCCGCCCGCTCTCATTAGTGACCGGCGGACGAGCACCACTGCCCCCCCCCCCGCCACACACACACCTCCCCCCCCCCCCCAGCAGGGAGCTCACACCACCTGGAGTTCATTACAGCGGTGATTATGACTGTGATTAAACCGCTCACACTGCAATAGACAAAGGAAAAGATTCCCCATACTGCCTTTAACAGACTGTTATGGCAAGTGCTGTTAGCGAGCACCTATGTAGGGCCGGCACGGCACACGAGGGGGGTGGGTGGCCAACACCACGCCCGGGCGCCTTTGTCTCCCCAGTGGCGATGTTTACACACCGCACCAGGTACTCATTTTAGGCTTAGTCAGTCTAGGGGAGCCCCAGGACCGGTTCAGATAACCGTCACCAGTGTTGGCCATGAGCAGGAATTGGAACTCGGGTCGCCGGGTTCGTAGCGCAGTGCGCTAACTGCTACACTACCGCTCCCCCTGCAATGCACACACACGTACGGGGATAAATATTGGTAGAGATTCCACCTCCACCCACTCCTGCCCACCCCCCCCCACCAATAGACTCCTGAAGCAAGTGCTGCCTGCCGTCAGTGAGCACATACTGACTAGACTAAACTATTTTTATTTTACCAGGTAATGCCCACTGAGCTATATTGCTGTTTTTCAGAAGCGACCTGGCCACAAATGATAGCTCGACTAAGTGGCTCATCACGTGGACATTTAGATTCGCCAAATACTCTAAACGCGTGTTGATTCTATATGTGGAGGGAAAATCTGGAGGACCCGGAAAAATAAATCCACACGACCACGGAGAGAACATGCAAACTCCAAATATACAGGCGTCAGGTTCATGATTGAACCCCTCGACCTCCTGCATTCCAGGCATAGATCAAAGATGTTATCCGGCCACGAGGTAGTTGACAACATGGCTGGCATGGTGATCAAGACCGTGGTGTGACCAGCACCGTAACCGGCCGCATTTGTCTTCCCCGCCCCATCCTCCAGTGATGATGTTTACACGCCGCACCATAAGTATTAATTTACGGCTAAGCTGACCTCAGAGAGGTCAGCAATGGTTCAGATATTACTTATCAATTAAATATTTGAAATTGAACTCAAGTCGCCGGTTCGTAGCACGCTGTGCCAACCACTGCACCACCACTCCCCACATCTGGCCGCAACACACGTACATACAAACAGTACAACAGGCGCCATTCGCCACTAAGTGACGGTGATGTAACCATATATCTTGTGCCACCGGAGGTGCAAGTACAGCAAAAGAACAAAGGCCTCCCCATAACCTTGATCGTACAGTCAGAGAAACAATGCAAGCTGATCCCAAAGAGTGACCGAGAATATGAGTAAATGAATGAGCGAGCCAGTTAATAAGCGGGTAAGCGAGTATGTGAGAGAGTGAGTGAATGAGTGAGCGAGCCGGTGAATGAGTAAGTGAACAAGCGATTATGTGAGAAAATGAGTGACTGAGCGAGTGAGAGAATCAGTGAGCGAGTCAGTGAAAGAGTTAAGTGAGCAAGCGCTTATGCGACAGTGACCGAGCCAGCGAGTGAATGAGTGAGCGAGCCAGTGAATGAGTAAGTGAGCCAACGAGTAAGTAAGCGTGAGAGTGAGTGACCGCGCAAATGAATGAATGAGTGAGCAAGTGAGCAAGCGAGCTAGCGAGCGAGTGGGTTGAGCGAACAGGCAGATGGGCTGGGACGGTCGGGACGGGCGATAAAGCGAGCTGATTAAAAGACTGGGTGTCGTAACGGGGCCATAACAGGTGGAGTCCTGCCCAGATGGGACGCCGCACCAGGCGGCCAGGAGACACGGCTCGCGTGCTGCGTGGCCGGGATGTCAGCATATGGTGCCGTCTAATCCCGCGCACAATCACCCACCGTAGCGTGTCGGGGAAGCTACTGCCAACAAGGGCATCAGGGCGCTCGCGCACCTCCCGTGCCTCCACTCCTGACAAATGACTCGTGTTCTACGCGCGGATTAAATTTTCTACACGGCTGTGTTCAGATCGGCGAGCCGTAAATACATCCACTGCAACTGGCACGCCACGTCCTGTACACCTTCTGGCTATGGCTGTGGCTACCAGCCCACGTTGACTCCAGCCTGCCAACGTCCCGGATATTGCAGTGGGAAAGTGATGCCTGCGTCTATGAATGAGAACGGCGTTTTAGTGGGAGGGGATAGATTAAGAAGACACCGTTGTGTTTACTTATGGCTCTTGTCGCCCCCTTCCGGCCATCAGGATCTTCTCTACACCACAGGTTCCATTGATCAGTTGACAAAACGGGAAAAATGCATCGCAGCTTGGCATCACTTTGGCGAATGGCGCCTATGTTTGTGAAGAAAACGCTGGCAGGATTTAATTAAAATAACTGGAAAGTTCACATCATAGAGGTTTTGGGTTAGATCGTATGGATATAAATGTGTCGTTAAACCCGCCACCACCACCCGACACAGCCAATTAGTAAAGTTTGTCACGTAAACAAAACGTGCCCATTCTTTACTAGTACAGCACACCGGTGTGTTGGAGAGTAAACCCACAACATTTACAATTCGAGTACGACGTTTCACCGATAATTACAACCAGTCTCATCAGGCGCTGAACTAGTAACGAATTGCCATGTTCTGTTTATGTGACAAATCTTCCTAATTGGCTGTGTCGGGTGGTGGCGGGTTTAACGACACGTTTTACATTTACACGATCTAACCCCAAAAACCTCTATTATGGATATTGGTCGCGATATTGGTCGCGAAAGCTTACGTGTTAAACTGGAGAGTTCACGTTTGCCAAAACATGAATTAGGGCACCAGGCACGTTCGATACATTGAGTGCACGATAGGGCCATGTGGTCGTATTGTTCACACTGGCCGGGATCTTAGTTTGTTGGGAGAGCGGCACATGCCTCTGAATTAATATATTTTGTCCCCATTATACAGTTATATCGTGATGCCTGCATCATCTTGGTCATGAGATGAAGAGGTTAACATACTGGACTCTCACAGAGAGAAGTGCATCACGTTGTGTCAGAGAACAGTCCCCGGGAGATGACGTCATAGAACTACTACTGAAGCCCGTTCAATTGCCTCTTATCCACGCTGGGGGTCCCGCACATTTCATATTTCCTCCAAAGAATTATCATTGCATGGCAATCAACCCAAGTTGAGACCATCAATTGCTTTACACTGCGAATCCAGTTTAACCATGGGTGGCAAACACCTGGATTCGAACCCAGGTACTCAGCGGTGCCAGTTCAGTGTCTTGATGCGGCCAGCCCAGCGCACGCACCTGCTTGATGGGGATGGCTCTGCCACTGCCGATGTTATCGGACTTCCCTTCTCCGCTCTTCTTCTCCTTCTCCGTGTCGCTGCCCTTCCGTGACTGCAGAGGAGGACGTGGTGGGAAGGAGGCGGGGGTTGCGAGGAGTTGGGGCGGGAGGGGAGCGGTTCGTAAGGAGGAGGCTCATGAGTGCAGGACAACTACGACTGCTGTGTATTAGAATGAGGGGGTCCATGAAATTCCCCATATCCCATTTACTATTACACACAAGAGTTTTTATTTCAATTACACTATCGTTTCAATTACATTTCCCCAATTCAACCTGGTAACAGCCTGTAGGAGAGTGTTATTGCTTTCTTATTAAGGTAGTATATATGAGTAATTGTAATTTAGTATCGATGGTGATTACATTTTTACAATTTTAGAGATGAATGCTGCAAAAAGTGTAAAGTAATTTGGAAAATTCCCTTTTCTGAGTGATGCTCATGGTGCTGCAATGCACCTACGAAAATTTTTTACCCTTTCCTGATCACCAAATGATGACTATCTATCCACATATATTTCTATCTCACCTATTTCTCAGGATTCCTGGGATTAAGTGGGAATGCTTGCTTGTGGCTTCAAATAACCAACCTCACATTTTAAAATGACACAATCCACCTGAAAACCCAAGGTAACAAACAAAACCATCAACAATTATCATAAACCCAAATGTCCCCAACTGCCCAAGCGGCCCGGTCAATGGCCTAGCTATCGGGTATACAGGCGGTGCAACTGCACCGGGGCCCATGGACCGGAGGGGCGCAGTTCGCCGGGTGAAATTCTACGGGAGGTCCCATTTCATTTCTTGCAAGCACCAGAGCTCGCACCAAGCCCGCCACGTGGCTCGAGCCTGGTCCAGGCTATTGCGCCTCTGTGCGTGTGCGCCTCTGTGCGAGTGAGCGAGAGAGAGAGAGTCAGCCTTTCTACCGTGAAGAGGTTGGAGCGGCGTTTGGACTGCTTGCGCACGGGCGTCGGCGTGCCCGAGGAGGAGGGCACCGTCTCCAGGCGCAGCTCCTTCTGGCTCGTGCTGGGCGTGGACGGCATCGACGAGGAGCAGTCGCTGGCGCCGCCCCCGCCGCCCCCGCCAACGGTGCTGTTGCTCGTTATAGTCACCTGCGGACCACGCATGTCCAGAGCTCATGTCACGGAAAATTTCGAGTGCTCCAGGCAGCCAATTCGAAGCCAACTGCCTCTCTGTATGCATGCATGTGGCACTTGGTTCGCGCCGTACGGAGCCAACCGTGCTAATCGGTGGAGACGAAAGCACCTAGAAGTAGTGAACAGCGATTTACAGCCCGGTGTCAGTCCACCAATCGATGAAGGCCTCCTGTGGTGGTTATTGGATCATATTTCACCGTGCTGGTCAGTGACGGTGGGGAGAATTGATGTTGAAGCGTGGAACAGTATAATCATGAATTTGGCTGCACTGCCCTCTGCTGTCAACATATGGGACCAGCTCGTGATTTATTTTTTAATGAACGCCCTCCACATGCTCTCGGCTGATTGTGTATATATATTTTTACACGGTTCGACACGTTAAAAACTACATCTGACGTATTCATTTTTTTTGGCGAGATTCCAAAACGTGGTCTCAAGAGATTGTGGAGCAATGTGGGCAGAAGGACTAGGCACATAATGACGCGTCAATTCATCGATTTAAACAGACTCCGAACTCCAACGACACGTGCATCAAACCATGACTTTAGATCAGTGGCCTAGCTATCGCGTGGGCAGGGTGGTGGGACTGCACTGGCTCCCACTTCTTAGACGTGGCCCAGACCCCTCCAGTTTAGGAAAACGGAATTTGCCACGGCACCCCAATTCATTCCTCGCACCAGGGCCCATGCCAATCACACTCGGCCACCGGCCCCGCTGGACGAAGTGGTAATGGGGCCACTACATCGTGTGATGCATGCCCATCCACCTTTGTCTCTCCAGCTAAGACGCTGGTGCACGAGGCCGACACCGTGCACACACGGCAATTGCTATCACTGCACATGGCAGTGAAAAGTGGGTCACTGGGATTAATGCACAGAGCAGGGTTGATATGACACGTTCACGCACTTATGTATTCATACATTCAAACACGCTGGCATGCACTCACACACACATGCAAATACATGCAAATACATATATACACGCACATGCACAGAGACACTTGCACATGCACTTATTTGCACGTGCAAATACTTACACACACAAACATGCATATGCACACACACACTCGCCTACACACACACTAAAATATACACACATCAGTACTTGAACATCCACAAACTCCTGCACCACGCACACTCGTTCTTAGACACACACAAACTTGCCAATAGGCACTTCTGCACACTCATGCATACTCACGTACTCTCATGCAATTACAACACGCGGTCATACATACATACACACTCACCTAGCTGCGCGCACACAAAGACAAACATCTCCTGTATAGCCTTAACATAATGTAGGGGCAAGTGCTGTTAGCGAGGACCAATGAAGGCCAGCACAGCACAGGAGGGGGTGGGTGGCCAGCACCACACCCGACCGCCCTTGTCTCCCAAGTGGCGATGTTTACGCACCGCACCCGCTGCTCATTTGAAGCCGAGTCGGCCGAGGGAAGGCCCAGGACCGGTTCAAATATTCACCACCATTATTGATCGTGAGCGAGAATCGAACTCGGGTCGCCGGGCTCGTAGTGCCCGCTGTGCTACCGATCCCCACACACGCACACGTGCACGCACACACACGCACACGCACGCACACACACGCACACACACACGCACACACACACGCCCCGTCACCGCCTCACCTGGTTGACGTGCACGGGCGGCATCGCCGCCGACGAGACGCACGTGTGGCTGGGCGAGTTTGGCAGCGACTTGCACTGCCCGATGGAGACCTGCTGCTTCTTCCTGGACGCGACGATCTTCTGAGCCACTGCCCAGCGAGGAAAGAGACGTGTGTGCATCGCCGAAGGTGCGCAGGAGAGACCGCCGCGTTCGAAATACCGCCGCCACGCGAGCTCTGTGGCCGAGCGCACCCATCGGCCAATGCAAATGGTCGGGGCTATTCAACGCCGTTGCTCCCCTATTCTCACAGTCGGAATAAATAGGTCAAGCGTTCAGCGTGGGACTGCGTTGCCACCTGCTGGCTTCGCCCGAGTCGTGCACGTGCTGGGACTAAGGCATGCGCGCATTCAGGTTCATGCGAAACGCGCGCGTGCATGCGTTTCGCGGGTGGACTCGGCTAAAACACGAGAGAGTTGGGCCAGCGAGTAGCAGGAGGGATGCATGTGGCAGGAACCGTCCCGGTCTGTTCACCCATAATGCCCGCCGTGTCCTGTGATATCGCATCAGTTAGCGTTCGACAATGAGCACAGCGTCAGAGTGCACCTAGCCTGGCACAAAGCACCATTGTGGCATCACCACCAATAATCGGTGTGGTTGAGCGAGCTAAACATTTTTCAGTACAACTGCAAGTGCTGATATGCACAGTCCCAGAGGCCTATAATAAAAAGTCAAGAGATCAACTAACGATAGTCCAGCAGCAGCTAAGGGCGTGACTTCTTGCATTGAGCGAGTTTGTGGGAACTTGAGGCAAGAGGCGATGGGAGTGACTTCGAGAGACAGCGATGGCGAGCACGAATCAAGAGTCCACAAGGTAAGAGTCGACACATTTCCTGAATTGAGTAAGGTTAGAGGAACTTGGGGAAAATATATTGCTCAAGAGTCGAGCGATGCAGGAAAATAAGGGGGAAGAGTTGAGAATCGAATGTTGAACACGGTAGGTTTGAGAGAAATCGGACAATCTAATCGAACTAGTCCTCAACATGGGGGGAAGAATAATAATCCATAATACATGTTTTTTTTGGGTAAAATCGCATAAATATATAAATGTGTCGTTAAACCCGCCACCACTCAAAACGGTCAATTAGTAAGGTTTGTCACGTAAACAGAGCGTGTCCATTCGTTACTAGTACAGCACACCGGTGTGTTGGAGAGCAAAGCCACAACATTTACAATCTGAAAGTACGACGTTTCGTCATTAACTACAACTAGCTTCATCAGGCGATAGCCATAAATTTGGTGGCGGGTTTAACGACACATTTATATATGTACGTGATCTAACCCAAAAAAACCTGTATTATGAATATTGGTCGCGAAAGCCTACGTGTTAAACAGGAATAATAAGACTAAAAATGCTGATTATTATATCCAGTTGTAACACGCCGCACAGCACTCACTCAACACTCTATCCCAAACGGGTGCAGTCCACATCTTTTTTACTCTACTGCCTTCTCCTGGCGAGCCAGGGTATGGCACCTCCTCGATGTCTACGGGAAGGGAGTTTCACAGCATCTCTGCGGTGATTTACCAACCCTCACCTCCACACTGCTCGATTACAGGCGCGCACCACCACCATCCGTATCAAGGTGTGTAAGAGTTCCCGATAATTCCATTGCTCACTGGGGCGAGTGTGAGCGTGCGAGCGTGCGTGCGAGTACGAGCGTGGGAGTGTGAGCGTGTGAGCGCGAGCGTGCGTGTGCTACCATCCTGGAAGACACGCTCCACGTTGAGGCCGTAGGTGGAGCACGTTTCGTAGTAGGTGCAGCGCTTGAGGTCATTGGAGAGCTTGCGTGCACGTGTGTCGTCGATCACGCGTGGATTCGTGGCGCTGATGGCATCTGCCGGAGGTAGACGGACGTTGACGGTGATGAGAGACGGTAACGGCCGTGATGATGATGATGATGACGATGATGATGATGTTGGTGACGATCGTGGCAATGTCAACAATTACGACCTCGCCAACTGGACCTACCAGACATCTGCGAAAAAGAGCTTTATCGCTCATTGGATTCCTCCAGCATAATTAAACATTCTGATTCACAGGCGGCACCGTCATAAAAAAAGCAATCACCCTGAGTGTAACAGGGAGACCAAACCCACTCTGACACGTAACAGTGGAAGGTGCAAGCATTAATTTTTCATGTCGGCCACGCAACATTAGCACGAGCGAGCGAGGCCCCCCCCCCCACCCTGCAAGGGAAGCCTCCCAAGAATCTTCGCGCGGCGTCTCCACGCGGCTCTTCCGGTCCGCCGAGCACCGAGGTTCCGCGATGTGGCACGTTGCTATTTTGGTTCTGCGCGGTGGCCTATTTCTTCGCGGGCTCGCTTCGAGTGGGTTAACGCGAGCGGGCGCCGGCGAGCGGCGATAACGCTCGTGTGCGTCGACAAGACCCGACCACCCCAGCCGCAGGAACTCACCACGCGAAGTCACCACGCGAAGTCACAAGCGCGCGCACACATGACCAAACACGTGACCTCGCACGCGAACACGTACACGAGCACATACGCGAGCGCGCACGTGAAGGAAAAGCCCCGAATCGCAGGGAAGCCGCCGCGTCACGCAAAACCGTGTCGAGCTTGCCGATTGCTGTGCCTGTAAAATAAAAAAAATAAAAAAACCCAGGTGATCCATTCAAAGATAGGTTTACCAATATATGGTGACCCTCTTACCCTCTACTCCACAGCCGATTGATAATTGTGAAACGACCGGCTCGATATCTTAGAGGGGAGAGTGTTATGAGATTTAACTCGTGCACTGAGAGTGGTGGGAGACATTTGGAGGCTGTCAAATAAAATATGGTATTGTCTATAATGTTTTCCTATTATTTTAGCGGGGTATTTATAGAGTGCGGAAGACTAGGCCAAATGCTCTATACAGGGGATTCCTCCAGGAGAGCTCCTTCTACTGGACGATCCCCTGTGGGCAGTGGCATGTGCAAGCAATTGCAGGGGCCGGTACCTTGACCCATCTGTAAATGAACCACCCTGTACTTCGCTCGTCCATACCCCTGCCCGTCCCGAGGATGCGTCACGAAACACTACAAAACAGCGAAGCGCAATCTCCACAAAAACTCAATCGCACGGCTCGCCAACACCGATGCTCAGATGTGTTGTTATTTTTTTCTTCCAAAAAAAAAAATATATAACGATAACACGAAAGTCACGCTGTGTGCCCAGCACAATCAGATGTGCGTGCGTTCGAGCTTGGGCTCGCGCTGCACGGGGCTGCCTAAAACGAATTGGCTTTCCAGCTCGTTACACGTGCGGCTATCGTGCTCAGATTTCACCGTTCGTTATATATAAATGTAATCTCGAACCCTTTGTGACCCGACCCCTCCCCACCCCCCCCCCCCCCCGGGACAATCTTGCCTCCATGGCAACGACGCTCGCACCGCTGACCTGTTCATGAGCATGTAAGCGCACAATTTTGACACGCCACACAAATCCTCATGTCCTGCGGGATAAGGGTGAGGTCAAGGGTTAGGAGCCGAGGTCAGAGTTATGGCTGTACGCAGGAATGGCCAGCTAATTCGCTGATGCTTGAAAGTGTCTGCTTTTGATTGGCTGGGAGTGGAAGCCGTCTGCGCGCGATTGGTCGGTTGTGAAGACCGCCGAGTCGTCACAGAGCATCACTCATCGGTGCAGCTGATGCGTGTGGTGATAGCCTAACATCGGAACGATCTCACAAAGGAGAAGCTTCTCCAAACGTAGTAATTTAATCTCCGGACGTTTCGACAGCCAATCGTGAGATCTTTGAGACGAAATCACCCCGGTTGGAGAAGCGTCATCATCGTGAGATATTTTATCTATAATTGTTCGGAAGTCAAGTCTAAATCTCAACCGCCACAATGGATGCGGCGGTGATAGAGCAGCTCAAAAATGTTAAATTTCTGCCGCAGTTGACGCAGTGCTGTGAATTGCAGCACTGGTACTTCTGAAAGACTTCAGTAATTCTGCATTGGCAATATTCCCCCACATGGACTCGAAAACATCCACGCATGAAACAAGTTAGAGACATCATATCGACCGGTAAGAAAAGCAAAATGGGCAGGGATGATTGACCGATGGTCGAGACTTATGATGGAATGGCATCCATTGGGGATAACACGCCCAAAAGCACGTCCAGAGATGGGGCGATAAAATCAGCGCATGCTCGTGTGCGAGATGAGCTGTTGTACTGCAGGACTGTGAGAGGTAGGGAAAGCTTCGGTGGATGACCGATGATGATGACGATGCATAGATTATGGCTAATAATGACGAATATTCTCTAAGAGCGGTGGCTCTGTGTGTAAATTTGACTCCTGTTTGAGTGCTCTTCAATCCCAAATAATCTACAATGCAATACAAACCCCACAATACTTCATGTCCGTAACATTAACTACATTTAACATTTCTATCAATAAATATGAACGTCAAATGAGAACGCATGATAATATAATAACTAATTTTCAACACCCCACCGGGCACATTTTTTTTACATGTACTCTGTAGTTTGTTTTTGTCTTTCCTCAATGCTACCCCAACTGCGCTACCGAAGTCACGGAATGAGACGGAGAATCCATCAGGAACGCTCAACAAAAAAACTGTCTCGTGGAAGAAGTTTTCGAATAACTGATTTTGAAACGTCACGGGACTATCGTGCACTAGAGGGCAGCACTTCTCCAACCTCCCTCAGACGTAAATGTTCATCGTATCACAGTCAAATTAAAATATGAAATTCTCATAGCTGGGATTAATTTAAGAAAATGTGTTTCCGCGTACAGTCATTGCTGACTGGGCTGATGACATCAACTCACTACACTTGAGAACCCAGTTTGATCTCGCACAGCTGCCAGGATTCAAACCCACGATCTGAGCGGTGCCCGCACAGCGCTCTGACCTCTGAACCCTACCACGTCTCATTATTTTAAATATTTATAAAACTTGATTTTTTTTGGGTCAGATCGCTTGGGTAACTTCTTTCACACCATGCGTAGCCGACCGTGCTAAGCGGAGGTGTGGGAAATAAATTAACATGTATGCTGTGATTAATAAAGTTTTACGATTAATATCGTTGCAATTGGCTGTGTCGGCTGGAGGAGAGTGTACTTCACACCTTGAACTTTGGAAAGCGTGACCCAAATATCAATAACGAATCATAATAATCGTCGCAAAAGCCGACACGTACCTCCGATTAGCACGGTTGGCTATGTACGGTACGAAAGAAGTTCAACATACATACACAACGCAGAAAAACAAACAGCAACAACGCCTGAGGCCGGCGTTAGCTCCACGTCATGAACCATGATAGGGAGTTGACGCCGACAACGATGACGATGATGACGATGATGACGATGATGATGATGACGATGATGGGGCGACTCGTTCTGGCGCGCTGGCGTTTCATCGTCACCTTGCGTTCCAACCAGCAGCAGTGGCAGGTCGGCGATGTTGCGCACGTTGGCGAGGCGGCTGTAGTAGTTGTACACCGTCTGGAAGCTGATCTCGTCCTCCAGGCTGAACACGAAGATGGTCGCGTCCACCCACGATGCAAACTGCCGCCCGGCACACGGCACGCGCCACAGAGGGAGTTGTTTGGGGGGGGGGGGGTGGTGCGGTAGGGGCCAAGGGAGGGCGGGGGGGGAGTCTGTTTCGGAAAATATATTCGCAGGTTCAACAGCGCCCGTGTTATTGCCAACTGAGATAAGAAAACGCTTGTGCATTAGCTCTGTCCATCTGTTCATAACGGCGGTGGGCGGGGGGGGTCACGTCACGATAAGTCTCGTAAAGGTCATCCAATATGACCCAACTGTAGTATCAAGGATTCCCAAAACACGGAAAGACAAAACTCCTAACGCCTAATCGCCAACCGTTACACGGGGGGTGGTTGGGGGTAGGGGTAAAGGTAAACGAATGTTTACTGGGAGGAACAAATATTTAGTTTACACCAGATTGGTTTACCTGTGGCTCTGGGGGACCTCCCTCATCGCGGATGAGGAGCAGGTAGCTCTGCCCATCCACGACAATCTCCTTCTTGAAGCGACCTCCTGCGGAGGAGATTTCCGCCATTAGTCTCACGCCCAGCCCATCATCGCGCTCAACCACGCCGCAAAAAAAGTAAAACAAGCTGCCGAGACACATTCATTTATTTCAGACGTGCTGAGTGTTTACTTCCCCCCCCCCCCCAATATATAAACAAGGGGCCGACTAATTAATCGGTCAATCAATCAATCAAGCCCCGGGCTTGGGAATCTCCTCACGTCGTCGCAGAGGTCAGGGGTCAGACGCGCAAGCAGGGATGCCGAAGAGGGGGGAAAAACGCAACCAGGTTTTTAAAACGCGGCCGTATTTTCAAAACGATCAGCGCTGCTATAAAAAGGCTCTTATTTGATTCTCCTTTTGCCCTTTCACTCTGCACTAAAGTGAAGGTGGCAGCTTGAAACAAGCCAGTGCATGTTTTGTTAACGACCCAAGACGCCTCGGCACTCACTTCGGGCCCACTTGACCGGAACATTTTCGCCGGCAGGGCCGTGGGCTTTGCGAGCTCAACCTCCGATTGTCGCCGATGCCCCCCCCCCCACCACCCCCACCCCCCCCCCCAACCGCACGCTCTGCTCGTGCCGCACTCTCGACGGCCGCGCAGCTCTTGACGCACGCCGCAGGTTTTTTTCGTTGGAAAAAAAACAAACCAGATGAGCGCTTCCTTTACCAGGTACTGTTGTGCTCCCGTTACAGGCTAAGGTGGTGCAAGGTGCAGCCCCGCGGTTTCTTGCTAACGCCACTGCCCGTGGAAGAGCCTCCACCAGATGGGAGTTCTAGAGAGCCGCTCTTAAGCTGGTAGTTTGGCCCTGCTCATGCACACTGGGCCAGGCCGCTTTGAGGTGGCAGCACCCGCACTTTACACCACCGCACGCGACCTGTGGATTCGAGAAACTGCGCTGCACGCATTAACATTGCTGGGTGGACAGAGGTGAGGTCGGCATTAAGAAACCTGCGTTGCCACGACGGGAGATCTGCACTGCAGATGCACGTGCTCATCATTACACCAGCGAGTCGGAGGACCTGGCGTCACTTCATATCTCTCGCACAGCATGTCTGCACGATCTACGCTCGTAACTCGCTCTGATCTCCGGGTGCGCGTGCGGCATGGCTCTGATTAACGCGCTCGTGCTGGCACATCACAGGTGGGAGTGCGCGGGAAATGAGCAGAGCTGACACGAAGGGATGCCCGCCCGATCGCCCTACCCGCTCGCCCTGCCCGCTCGCCCTGCCCGCTCGCCCTGCCTGAGCAATCACGAGCTGCGTGTCGCTGTCGGCCTTTGTTGACAACAACATCTCGGGGCTGATTTAAGCACGGCTGACAGCGGGGAGGCCGTGGTATGCTATAAATGTTGTATTCGCGCAAAAAAAGTGATTTATTTATTTTTATTTTTTACTTTTCTTCCAAATTATATTGCAGCCCGATTCTGCGCTCGGCATCACGTCATGAGGTGAAGCATCCATTCGCGGATCTCTCGCAGACCAGAGCAATTGGGAAATGGCCTGCAGAAATGGAGACCACAGAGCTACGTTGGAGATCCCTTCAACTGAACTCTGGTTCACACGGTAGGGGGCAGGAGGCATTTTCCCCAGTTAATTACAGAGCCAAATGTCATGCGATGGGCGATTTTCTTTTTAGTGCAACCATTGTTGGTGACTGGGCGGAGACCATCGGGTCACTACAATTGAGACACGAGTTTAATCACAGGCAGCCGGAACGTGGATTCAAACCCAGGAACTCGGCAGCGCTGGCTCGGCACTCTGACCTCTGAGCCGATCCGACCACCTCGTAAGCGTTAACATTTTTGATAGCTCCGCAGTCCAGGAGAGAGCGCAACACCGAGGAGGCAGCGTGTCACGGATCGGTGAGATCGGCTCACGGCAAGACGGGGCGTCCTGACCGGCAGCCTAAGAAGGCGGAGCGAGCGGCTGGGCATTGTGAACAGACGACGACGCGCAGCGTGCCAGGTTCCAGCAAATCAATTTGGCAAAAGGTCGAATGATACGCAGCGTCCGTCGCCATGGCGATCAAAAATAGTTGGGGGGGGGGGGGGGCGGGAATGACGTCAGCGAGCCGACGGCAGCCGCGCGATGCTCGGCGGAACGATCCGTCGAGCGTCCCCCGAAACGACGCCACCCCCCCCCACTCCACCCGCCCGACACGACTACCGCCCAGGTGCCGATGCTGCTGCTGCTGCTGCTGCTCAACCACGATCCACACGTCGTTGTTGTTGTTGTTGCTTCTCCTCTTTAATCGCCTTGTGTTGTTATGGCGGTATTACAGTATTCATGATGAGGCGGTGGAGCTGTGGTGCAGCGGTTAGCGCACTGCGCTATGAACCTGCCACAACCCGAGCTCGATTCCTAGCCACGGCTAATATTAATTATATCTGAACTGATTCTGCCCTACCACCCCCTCTCCTCCTCACCACCCCTACCACCATCCCCCACCTCTTCACCCACCAACACTGACCAAGGTGGTGAAGTATGGTTAAACAACCCCTATAAACGACACCGTGGAGAGGACAATATCCAGCAGTGGACTGACAAAGGGCAATGATTATTAATATTAAACATCGCTTATTTATCTACTTATTTAAATAGAGAGCAGATGTGCACCACACAAATGTGGATTTCAGGAATAAACAAGGCAACATTGGACGAGAAACCAAGAGACAATAAAGAAGGCATGGGTGGTGGGCGACCGACTCAGACAGGCGGAGAGAAAGTCAACTCAGATAGCAAGGACGTCAAGGACGCACGAGAAGAGAGGTCAACCACAGCAGGACAAACGCGATGAGCGTGGAAGCAACAGGGCGAAGACTGAGTGGCCGGGTAAAGAAAGAGGTGGTTCAAAGCGATGGGCCAGGATATGAAGGATGCGAGATAGAGAGCAACGTTGAATCAATACCCTGGTGCACGACCGACAACACCGAGGAGCTGTTGCCTTTTTTTCCATTCACATTCAAGTGGGGAGCTGCTCTATCAATAACAGCGACGACAACGGCGCCAGTCAACCCGACCCAGCAGCCACACACAGACGGGGCGTAACACCGGGCCGCTCTCGAGACCCCCCCCCCGTGCACCCACGGGGCACTGCGCGTGTCTCGGACTCCGCTCTGTGAAGTTTGTCCTGTTGCCAGGGCAACGCGTGCACAGCGAGCCACGAGGCCACCAAAGACTCGGTTCCGATTCGAGCGCGTCCACTTCGCACTCGTACAAACAGCACTCCCCCGATGCCTGTCAGCCGATTGCCGGCCGCCGTGCGGAAGCTGCGTGCAGGTGACGGTGTACTCACGCCGGATTGTCAAGCCGGGATGGGTCGTCGCTAATGCGGCAGATGTCCTCGTGTGTGCGTGTGTGTGTGTGTCGAACTAGCCGCTACGTCTAAAAAGGCGCAGGCCTGCAATTGCTTGCTCGCTTCGCTGCTGACGGAAGAGCAAATTCCTTCACTGGAGGGAGCTGTCGGGAGCCCCATGAGGGTACTTTTGACTTTCCACGCTCGCCAGACGTCTTGGTAGAGGTGGCAGTGCCCGTACTTTGCACCCACCACGTGCGAGCTTTCCGATCGACTAACTGCAGTGTAGCCATTTAGACCGCCGGGTAGACGGAGGCGGCTGGGGAGGAGTCCAGCGTGCCAACCATCACACCGCAGTAGCAAACGCTTGGCGACATGGATTTTAATCACAATATATTAACCCTTTCCTGTTGCGATGACGTACCTGTACGTCACCAGTTTTTCTTCCGATTTCGAGCGGAATCGGAAGTCAAAGGCCATGCGGGAGGGCGTGTGGCACAGTTTGGCGCAAGCTATTATAGAATGTGTCGCTACAGTTATTTGTGCTGAGTACAATGTCTTTAAAAACAGCAGCACTACGCCTCTCTAAACAAAATGAACGCGAACCGCTTGCGCGTTCCGCGATTCGGCGGTGACCAGGACCCACCCTGCAAATTTGCAGACGTCTCGAAAACGGGAAGGCGTTAAACTCCCTCTCACGGTGACTTCTGAAACGTTTGCTTCGGCGTCGACATTTACTCGCACATTAAAAACATCGTTACATACATCTTGGGAATGTCGGCTCATTGGTCCTAACTTGTTTTCCGCGGCAATGGAAACCCACGCGTGAATTCCAAGAGGTGGTCCATGCGATCGTCCCACCGCGCTCCGCGCCCGTTTTCTCCATGTGATTGCGCCAAGTAATCTTGCATTTGCCGAGCGATTTCCAGCACGGGGCGATTGCTTCCGCTCACCCCGTGCTGTCCGCGCAAGCGCTGGGCATGCTACCCCTAAAGTGCACGTAAATCCTCATGAAAAGGTTTTTATATTTTCAGCCCGGCATTAAGCTGGTGTTAAATAAATGCGAGTGTCATGTGTTTTGAGTGGCGAGAGAGAGGTGGTGCCATGCTGGTTCACGCAATATCGCACACAGAGCTAACGGCTGCAACGAACGCTTGAGTTTCCATTGCCCTTCACACGTCTACTCCAGTTTATCAATGACGCGAAAAATATTCAGCAAGACATTAAGTTCCCGTTGTTGTGCTTCTTGTAGCTCTCAATTGGTTAATGTTGTGGTTGTTAACTGCTTGGTTGTCGTGGTGGTTGTTGTTGTGTGGTAATGTTTGAGGTTGTTCATGTTGATTGCGCGGTTGTTGTTGTTGATTGAGTGGACATTGTTGCGCTTGTTGATTGCGTGGTTGTTGTTGCTGTATTTATTGTAGTTGATACGGTGTTATTATTTTTGTTGTTGTTCCTGAGCCAGAAGCTCACCTTCGGGAGACTCCTCCTGCATGTACGCCCCCGTCAGGTAGCGGTGAACCAGGGCCGACTTCCCGCTTGCCAGATTACCCACAATGCCCTGCCACACACATCCCGTCGTCAGCAATGTTCACCCAACAGGGACAAGCGCAAGTCCGTTGGTGGGTGGAAGCGGCAATGGTGCTGGTGGCGGTTGTGTAGACCTGAAATTCAGCACTTCAAAGACAAGATTTAGTGGATCACGTCGACTTTCGAAACTCCAAAACCCAACGTACTGCGAGGCGGCCAGGGGATGGCCAGACAGGAAGTGTGTTCATGAAGCCGTCCGTGCGGACTTCTCAGTATCCCCTCATATGTGTGGATTTTTCCTCCGAGCATTCACGTCTTCTCCCACAAGCAAAACACGCCTTAAAATACCAATCATCCCAATTGAGGACCCTCATCAAAATGAGTCGTTGGTACTCAGTGTGGCTTTCCCCATGAATACATAGATGGTATTATTATTATTACTCTTTGGTTCTTTCGGTAAAGTCATGTAGATAAAAAATTAATAGGTGAGACAAACACAGCAGGAGAACTGCTACTATCTACGTGAATTTACCGAAAGAACCAGAGTATGGATTCCTGCAGTCACGAAAGCTTCAAATCAAGATTATTATTATTATTATTCTCATGAGGTCAGCAAGCACTTAGCTATGTCTAAAGCTTGCTGGGGTGTGGGAACAGTGACAAATGTAGCGGTGACCATCAGCCCAACACGACATGTATGTTTAACTTCTTTCGCGCCGCATGTAGGCAAACCGTGCTAATCGGAGGTGGCGGACACCACTACGTCCTCTCTCAATCCTGAACTGAACAAAAGAGCCGTTAACGGTCAACGGGGCAAATCGCCAACGCGATGAGCTTCAGCCAAATTCGTCAGGACGTGAACGTCCTCCTGAACGCGGTGCGTGCATGCGTGCGTGTGTGGGCACGCGTGTGTGTGAATGGGGAGCGGTAGTGTAACGGTTCGATTCCTACTCACGGCCATATCGCCACTTAAGGAGACAATGGTGGCCAGACGTGGTGTCGGCCACCAATCCGCTCGTGTGGCGTGCCGGCCTTTACAGGTGCTCGCTAACAGCCCTTGCCCCGACAGTTTGTTAAGGCTATACGGGGGATCTTTGTCTTTGTTGTTCATGTGTGTGCGTGCGGTCACGACGCAGGGCCAGCGCTCACCACTTTTAGCTCCGGCACGGCGCGGCTCAGCGTCCACTCCTGGCTGTTCACAAATGAATCTGTAAAGGCATGAGGGGTGGGGTAGAGTGGGGGAGATTGTGTTCACACACTGGCACCACACCAGGACCCTCGTGTACAGCACATCCGACGAAATGGACGGAGCTCATGACGAAAACGATCAGCAGGATTCCCTGAGCTCTGATTGGGCAACTGGGATTAACGGCACTGCCACTCGACCACTGAACCCACCTGGATCACACACCTGGATCACTCGGACTATCAGGACGACTACTCAGATCACCGGGACTACCAAATTATGGGTTACTCACCCACTCATGCATGTATACACACACAGATGCTCGCTCACTCATGTACATATTCACACACAAAGATGTTGACTCGTGTCTATGTATGGAGATGTTAACGTGAGAATCACCCATGGAAGGATCAGGAGTCCTGCAGCAATCAACCAGGGCAGGATTGTAGGAACTAAATGCTTCCCGCAGAAATGCCCCAGCTCAAATGGATATATTTACAAAATCCAAAATGCACTTAAGGTGCACAGGTGAAAGCCTACGGTCACTTGGCAATTCAAACAATTTAAATAATACAGCGAGACTGTTATGCTCGGCTGTTCTTATGAGGGCATTGCAGATTTAATGGCCGAGCAGAAGAATTGGCAGCAGGAGAGTCCGCTGTGGTGTTCGTGGGAACCCTGCAGCGCATCGGGAAATCATTTCCGCAGAATCGCTGGCCTCGAAGCTGCACGTTCTGCGACTGCAACGACTGAACTAATTCCTTTTTTCACCACCGGGCATAACCAACTCCACCTCTACCGAGCGGCGGACGGAAACATCTATCTTTGTTTCTCTATTCCGCCTGCATATGTTATTACATCTTGATGCATAATTCAGATTAATCACAGATGTGCCGACTTGGCATTCATCATCGAGGGCCCTTTTGCCTCAGCACGGCGTGTGAATTCTTGACTCGGGGTCACCGTGAACTCCAACTCTAACCCTCGACGGCAATCTATTTGCGGCCACATAGAAAAACGTGGCTTTATTTATTTGTATTTCTTCCACATCAACAGGCCGAGATAAATTATCTAGCCAACAAACACTGTGGGTATTCACACACAGTTTTACCCGTTGACGGGATTGAGATATTTTTTTCACGCACCAAAAAGAATAAGAAATATTCATTTCAGTCGCTAATTTTAAGGAATGTTGAGTTGTTAAGCAGCTGACTTTTGGCCACCGTGGAGGAGGGGGCCCATGAATCGCACGGCGTGAGAATCACCGCAGACCGAGGGGTCCTGTTCGCCTTTGGACGTCTGACTCAATCTGCCTGTTTGCACGTTGTTTTTTTTTGTCTCAACGATTTTTTGCGTGCAATTTTTCAGACCAGCACTGGCGGGCATCTCAGAGTGCAGTTGAGCAGTGTGCACCAAACATTCCTCCCTCCTAGGAGGAGGAAGCTTCGTGCGGCTCCAGAATCAATCTTCCCGATTCGGAGCACTGTCCACACAGCACAAGCACAGCCCCATTAGAGAGGGATAAGTAGAGATCCATTCTGTCTCCACGCATAAATAAAAATATGCTTAAGTATATCAGCTTAAGAGATCAATATTATTGATCAACATTTGTTTAAGCGAGAAAATTCTAGACCAGCAGTGTCAGACGTGTTAAACAAATACTGTTGGATTACTAGTTGTTATTAACAAGATTACTCCATGGAAATGATGAAGCCTCATATGGCACTCCTGCACTTATCGAGGGAGAGATATGCGTTAAGGACGCTTAGAGACTTTTCAACAAAAATAAACAGCTTATGTAATGCACCGTCAAAGTAAAAGCGCTGTATGACCTGTGGAAAACAACAGAAACGTATAATTATAATTTACAGCACTTATCAATCTACTGCTGGATGATGGCCTCCCGAGGCCATGTCAGTCATGGGGGCGACTTGACCATACTTGAAGACGTTTATCAGTGTGGTTTGGCGATGGAGGAGGGTACCCAGGAATGCTTCGGATATCACTCGTGACTGATCTATGCTGTGGAATGAAACTCAGGTCACAGGGTTCGCAAGCACAGTGCGCTAATCACTACACCACCGCTCCACTCCGGGAGAAGATAAGGTTTCGCAAAGTATTACCACGGGACTGTATGTGTGGTGAGTTACTGTGGAATTATTTTGTAGCATCTCAATCTAAATATATTTTTGACTGACACACACATATTGTTTTGTTCCACGAATTGAGCCTTCACCTTAAGAAAATCTGTGATGAAGATGGACGCAGATGATTTTTTAAAATACAATCCCGATATGTATTGGGATATAAATAAATAAGTGTTAAGAGACATAACGTACGCCAGGGGAAGAGTAAAATCTAGACGTGTCAGTCACATGCCCGAGAAGCCCTCAGCGCAGTTGGCAGCGAGCTTCCTCGAAAATCTGGAACAGTGCGAATCTTGACTTCTTTGTTCAAACGGCATGGCAGTGTGGTGCAAGTTCAGGACAGCGCAAAGAAAACAACGCAACCATTCCGAAAATCCCACCACTCCTGACCAGTCATGCACGTGGTCGCCCTGCAACACCAGCGCAAATACAACGGCACGACAGATCTTCGCATATTGCAATCGCGAGTGTTTCTGCGTTAGTGTGTGTGTGTGATGGTGTGGTGATGTGCACTCTGTGTGTGTGTGTGATGGTGTGGTGATGTACGCTCGTGTGTGTGTGATGGTGTGGTGAAGTGCGCTCGTGTGTGTACCTGGCGCAGCCTGAGGCCTGGTTGGTCGCGCACGTGGCGCAGCCTGAGTGAGGCCTGGTTGGTTGCGCACGTGGCGCAGCCCGAGTGAGGCCTGGTTGATCATGTACCTGGTGCGGCCTGGGTGGGGCCTGGTTGGTCGTGCACATGACACTGCCTGAGTGAGGCCTAGCTGATCATGCACCTGGCGCAGCCTGAGTGAAGCCTAGCTAGATCGTGCGCCTGGCACAGCCTGAGTGAGGCCTAGCTAATAGTGCACCTGGAGCAGCGTGAGCCCTAGTTAATCGTGCACCTGGCGCAGCCTGAGTGAGGCCTAGTTAATCGTGCACGTGGCACGGCCTGAGTGAGGCCTAGGTAGTACTGCACATGACACAGCCTGAGTGAGGCCTAGTAAATTGTGCACGTGACACTGCCTGAGTGAGGCCTAGCTAATCGTGCACCTGGCACAGCCTGAGTGAGGCCTAGTAAATCATGCACAAGGCGCAGCCTGAGTGAGGCTTAGTTGGTCATACACGTGGCGCGGCCCGAGTGAGGCCTGGTTAATCATGCACGAGGCGCAGCCTGAGTGAGGCCTGGTTGTCAGTGCACCTGGCGCAGCCTGAGTGAGGCATAGTAAATCGTGCACCTGGCGCAGCCTGAGTGAGGCCTAGTTAATAGTTTGACGGACCACAAGCTGTGTTCCTGCCAAGACGGCATTGCCACGGACCCCAAGCTGTGTTCCTGCCAAGGCAACATTGCCGTGGACCCCAACCTGTGTTCCTGCCAAGGCAACATTACCACGGACTCCAAGCTGTGTTCCTGCCAAGGCAACATTGCCACGGACCCCAAGCTGTGTTCTTGCCAAGGCAACATTGCCACGGACCCCAGGCTGTGTTCCTGCCAAAGCAGCATTGCCACGGACCCCAAGCTGTGTTCCTGCCACGGCAACATTGCCACGGAGCCCAAGCTGTGCTTCTGCCAAGGCAACATTGCCACGGACCCCAATCTGTGTTCCTGCCAAGGCAACATTGCCACGGACCCCAAGCTTTGTTCCTGGAAAACTTCACGGAGATCGTCAAGACGGCCAAGGATGGTGAATGAAGAGTCCCCTGTGTGGGCTTCAGTGGGGCCGTCTGGTCGGGCAGCAGAGACACGAGAGGCCAAGAAACGACATTCCAGTCGTGGGCTGAGCTCAAGGAGGGCTCGCTCGAGCACAATCCTGCGGCGGGGAAAGGAGGCGGTGCAAGCGGTTCAGCCGAGCCCACAATAGCCAAAAATCTGCTGTCCCTGTCTGGGGGGGGGGGGGGGGGGGGCGCTGTTCAACCCTAGTGCGGCAAGACGTTTTCTCGCGCTCAGCCTACAAGTATTTATATTTTTTCTCTTCCGCTTGTGTGTTAATCTGTGTTTACCCCGGATATTTTAGAGATGCCAATTCTCCTGCTGTGTATCCTCCTGCTATCCCTCCCGGCCATATCTAGTGCCACACTCAACTCTACAAACAGCCATCCTCGTTACTTTGCGTCCATACTTCTTGCTCGATTTGCCACTACACTTGCTAATGAAACAGCTCATAGACACTTCTACACTCCATCATTGTATCCTTTTAAACCCTATCTTTGTCCCATTACTTCACCAGGACTCCTTCCAAACTTCATTCTGCTCGTAAAAATAACACCATCTGTGAGCTACTGCAAGTCATTGACAAAGGGGGCCCTAAAGACGATCCAAATAACTACCGACCAATCTCAATTTTGTCCCCGTTGATGAAAATTTTTGAAAAATTATTGAACTACCAAATTAGCAGTTTCCTGTCCACCAACAATCTATTACATCTAAAACAATCTGGGTTCCGAAAAAAATACAGCACCACATCTGCTGCATTAGACTCTCTGAATCACATTTACAGTAGCCTTGATAATAAGCAGTGCTGTGCCTGTCTTTTTCTAGACCTGTCCAAATTTTTGATACAGTAGACCACAACACCCTGCTTAGTAAACTAAGCTGCCTCGGTTTTTCCGAAAACGCAGTAAAATGGTTACAAAATTACCTCTTTTCTCGCACCCAAACTGTATTCACAGATGGTTGGAGGTCAAACAGTGTTAAGATAACAAAAGGAGTTCCACAGGGTTCCATCCTCGGCCCCCTTTTGTTCTCTCTTTATGTCAATGACTTGGGCACTGACCTGGATCATTCCAGGGTAAATCTTTTTGCAGATGACACGATACTGATTACTGCTGGCTGCTCTCCGGATGACGTGATTGCTAAGCTACAGGGTGATTTCAACAAACTACAACATCAGCTAGTTGC